AATATATATATACAAAGATCTATTTCTCTATCGTTATATAAAAATATATTTACATATGTACATGCCTGTATTTAGACCTAAAAATGTCCTTTGCCTCCTAGTTCTTTGCTGTATTTCCTTTTACTTTCCTCTAGTCCCACTATCATGTTCGGCCTTCATTCGGGTTTCAGTAATTCCTCTCAGTTACATTGCCCTTGATCAAGCCTCACCAGGGATCCTATACCCTCCTCGCCATCGATTTTAGATCACTTGTCCCCTTGTCCCTGGGTTTGTTGGCACCCCCCTTTCATTCCCCAGCCTCACCCTCTCCTGTCCCGTGTCCTCCCTGAACCATTGGTCGTCCCATTGTTTTCTCCTCCAGATTGTTTATCCCGCTTATCTTATCTAGATAGCCATGCAGAGACAATAATAAGCACAAAAACAAGACAAGACAACAATAAGAACCAATGACAAAAAAAGAAAAGCCTGTAAATAATTCCAGGTCTTTTTGTTGACCTGAAGGAGTGGTTTCTGGTCGAGTCTGATGGGGTGCCACATCCTGGCCAAAAGTCTATTTTTGGTATTCCTTGTGGACTTCATTACTGCGCTCCCCTTGCTGCTCTGTTGCACACCTTAGCGTTTCACCCCAAGGTGGTGGGGTCAGATCGGGCACAATTCCTGTCACTGTGTCTCCAGTGTTGTCCCCCAGAGCACTATGGGTCAGTGAGGGAAGTTGTGTTTTGTGGTGGGCCCGGCCCTATGGTCCTCTCTGTGCATTGGCTGCTCTGAGCAGGAATATTGTCCTTGAGGGGTTGGTGGGTCCTGAAATTCTTATAGCCCAAGATTGTTTTTTCCTTTTTTATCCTGTTTAACTGCTATCTTTGTGGGCCTTTTTAATACACATTCTGCCAAATATGTAGAATATCTTATCCTGATATTTAACAAATAATACTGTCGTTTCAAACAAGTAATTTCTATCTTATTTGGCCAGTGTGGACTGTGAGGTCAGATGGCAGTCACTTACCCATCTGTGGTACGTGAGGGCTCCTCTGTGGCTCCCCGTGCAGATCTGTTGGTAGCTTGTCTGTCTGCATTGGTGGGCTAGAAGGAGCAGTGCAGGGACCTGACGAAAGAGTGCGCCTCATTCAGAGGAGCCCTGGGGGACAAATGGAACCTACCAGTCAGTTCACAAGAACAAAGACCTGGCAGTCTGCTCCTGTAAAGATTTACAGTCTCGGGAACACACTGGGTCTGATGACACACAGCGACAGCAGGATAGCCTCGGTCTGGCTCAGCTCAGACTGCATTTGCAGAGCAAGAAGGCAAAGTCACCAAATAAGCCAGGGGTGCTAAGGGACCTGGAGTGTTTGCTAAGCTGTCTGTGAAGTGAAGAAATAAGACGTTGTTCCTTCCCTTTTCTTAATTAAGCCTTATTAGATAAGTGGTTCTTAACTTTTCTGGATCAAGACTGCTCTAAGAATTTGGTGAAAGCAAAAAAAAAAAAAGAATTTGGTGAAAGCAACATGTACATCCTTAAAAATTTTGTGTAGCATTTCAAAGGGCTCATGGACCTCCCTCTAAAAACCATCCCATGAGCTGTGGAGTGGAGTAATAACTCTTGGTGTGACCTCTCCAGTGTCGTTGTGTTTAACAGCCAAAGTAAATACTATACTTTTTAAACCGTGGTTACGTCTCACGGAGAATGCATTGCATCTCCCTCTCATCAATGCAGTCAACACAATGTGCTTTAAGTCAGAACACACACATTGTGTTTCAGGAACACTTGGCTCAAGTTTACATTTTTAACAAGAATTACTAAATACTTTTTCTTCCTCTCTTAAAGCTCGGGAAAATGCGGCTGACCATCCCGTGTCGGGCCCTCACGTGTTCTCACCTGCAGTGTTTTGATGCTACTCTGTATATTCAGATGAATGAGAAAAAACCAACCTGGGTGTGCCCTGTCTGTGACAAGAAGGCTCCCTACGAACACCTTATTATTGATGGGTATGTCACTCTCCAGTGGTGTGCCCCACCTGGAAATCTAGAGCTCCGTAATATTGTAACTGTTTTGGTGTTGTTGTTTTTTCTTTTCTTTTCACCTTGATGTCCCTTGTTTGGGGGATACCTATTTCACTGTTCATACCTACAGATGTTCAAAGTGTTCAAAGCACCAGTGGTTCTCAGCAAGAGTGTTCGTTACACTTTCTCCTAAGGCTGTCTAGCCCAAGACATACAGCACATGTTGGAGACAGAACTACGAAACTGGTTAACATAAATGGAAGAATTGTTTTCGTCTGAAGTACTTCCCTTTATGCGGTGTGCTCTATCTACAGCATTGCAATAATTATATGTATTTTCAACATACTCTTGGGTTTTGTTTAATTTTTTATCCTATTAGACACCATGGAACACTTCCTAAGTTGTCCCTTACTCTAAAGCCTCCCTTTGCCATGGAACAAACATAATAAATGGCAGAAACGGAGCATCTTCATAATATTTCCTCTATTCTTTATGAAAAAATTGAAGGCAGCTTATGTGTAGTTTTTGTGAAAACATAGAAGTCAGAAGGTATAAAATAAAAAATGGTTTATACTTAGTGCAAGTATAATCCAGAATTCAGAAGATGTCACACTGCTCAAGGCAAAAAATAAACATGTAACTTAGACGTTTAACTTAGCAATGATGACAATAATCTTATAAATCTGAACTGAAGAGTAATATTTTGTTAGCAATACATAGCTATAAGTGTCCCTCCCCTCCCCACCCCCACCCCAAGCACCCTGGTGCTGTACAGGTTACGCATTGGCCTGCAATCTTCATGATCTGCAGGTCAAAACCCCCACCAGCAGCTCGGCAGGAAACAGACTGGGCTTTCTACTGCCATAAGGTGACAGTGAATTTGGTTTGGTTTCCCCCCCAGCCAAGGATTTTGTCCCTCTTATTATAAAAGGTGTGTGTGTGTGTGTGTGTGTGTGTGTGTGTGTGTGTAAAAATTGGCCCCTGTGTCGTGCAAGCAGTTAAGCACTTGATTGCTGGCTGAAAGTTTGGCTATTTAAACTCACTTAGGGTACTTTGGAAGAAAAGCTTGGTGATCTGTTTCCAAAAGATCCACCCTTAATGCAGTGAAACAGCTCTCCTCTGTACACCTGGTCACCACGGAAACAAGAAAAATGATGTGTTGTGTTTTGGACTTAGGTTTTATATGAGATTTTTATGTAATTAAACATCAGAAACGCTAATTGGTAATTTGTAGTATGAAAAAGGGTGTAAATAAGAAAATAAATGCCTGTAATCTTTGAAACCTTCATTTGTTATGGCTACATCATATTATAGTTTTAACTATTTTCTCTTCAGTTTTAGATGAATAAATATGAAAATAAACATAATACATGTCTTTTACTTTACCTTATTTATATGAGGGGCTTCAAAACAATTATAGAAAAGTTCCATTGTCTTTGAGTTCTATTTTTCCATGAATTTTTTGTAGCCCCTCAGATTTATACCAAACAGAAGATTGAATACAACTTTCATTTCTTATAGCTTGTTTATGGAAATCCTAAAGTACTGTACAGACTGTGATGAAATACAGTTTAAGGAGGATGGATCCTGGGCACCCATGAGATCAAAAAAGGAAGTGCAGGAAGTGCCTGCCTCTTACAACGGAGTCGACGGTGAGTGTGTATGTCCCCAACGGATGGCGCAGTCTCTCCCTGCTGCTGTCTAGATCTGGTTTTCAGTCTTAAAGTGAGGGGAGTTTTTAAACACTGGGCAATTTATGAAAGCTTTAATAACACTTACTAAATTATTAATTAAATAGAAGTAGTACAACTCCTTTTAAGTTTATTTTGTGTGTGTGTGCCAGATTTAGATATTTTCTGATACAAAATTTCAAAGAAGCATAATCTAATAAGTCATTTGTAAAGTCATGCTTCTGAAATGGTATCCTTTTAAATTTCTAACAGAGTTAGTACAGCTTAGTGAACATTCCTTTTTCATTTGTATCCCCCCCCCCAGCTTGTCTGCCTCCCAGCCCCCTTTCTCACCACCCCCTCACATATGCAGTTTTTAATGTTTTCACTGAAAGTAATCTGTGGCTTTTAAAAAATGGGACCTTAACATTTAAGTATGCCCAATACTGTAATAATGCAAGGGGGTACCCCCCCAAAAATGGAATTTTTTCCAAAGCTATGTATTAAAAAATTTTTACAAAACAACCTATCACCTTCAAAGTACTCTCATTACACTTAATACATTTGTCAAATCTGCGATTTCATTCTTGGAAACATTTTCAAACTCATCTGTTTGGATGGCTGACAGCACCTCCCTCGTTTTTTTCTTCACCTCTTCTACATCGTCAAATCGCTGTCCTTTCATGTCCCTCTTCATTTGCTGAAACAAAAAGAAGTCACACGGAGCGAGGTCAAGTGAGTAAGGTGCGTGGGGCAAGAGAGGCATGCTGTTTTTTTGCCAAACACTGGCATATTGAGATGGCTGCGTGAGTAGGTGCATTGTCGTGGTGGCAAAACCAGTCTCCCGTCTGCCACAAATCAGGCCTTTTAGTCATACACTGTTAACACAATCTTTAAACAGAAAGCTTGATTAACAGTTTGTACTTTGAGTAAACATTTTTGTCCATATGGGAAGTTGATGGATGTCCAGAATGAGGTTTGTCATCAATTGACATTTCAATTTTTTTGAAATGAGAAAAACCACTCATACACTTGAGTTTTTCCCAAAGCACTGCCCTTGTAAGCTGTGTTCAACATCACAACATTTTTGTGCATCATTTTTCTCAAGCAGGAAACAAAACTTCACAGCCACACGCTGTTCTCTTAAATTGGCCATCACAAAAACAAGGTTCAACCAAAACTGCTTTTACTACAAAATGCACTGTGACAAGAGAGAAACCTTCCCAAGCAATGCCACTGGATGCACTAACTCAGCGAGTTGCTCAATGCTCGCCTTGCTGGGAAAGTGCCTACTACAAAAGCTCCACTCCACCCAGCACAATGCTGGTTTTTGGTTTTTGGGTATCATGTCTGCTTTCCAGCTGCTTTTATTTTGCAGAGGACATAGACTTAATGATTCCCCTAATTCAGCATGATTTTACAATAAAAAAAAAATTTTTTTTTAATTTAACTAGAGCCAATGTAGTTATTTCCATCTCTGGCCCCAGCAATGTTGTGAGTACATAATGAGTCAATTCATAGGGTCACTGAGAAAAGAAGTTACAGTTGTTTTTGCTTTCTATGTTAATCCTCCATCATAGGATGCTTGAACTCCACGGTGGAGCATCCAGTATCTTCTCACCACCAGTCCTCGAGTAAAAACAAGAAAGTCGAGGTGATTGACCTCACCATAGACAGTTCATCAGACGAAGAGGAGGAAGAGCCCTCTGCCAAAAGGACCTGTCCTTCTCTGTCGCCCACATCACCACTCAGCACTAAAGGGTAAGGGCTGAAGAGCCAGGCGAGTTAACCTGACAGAGATTCAAAGTCTGCCAAATAAACAACTTGTAATTGTCAACTTTGCAATCAAAATATGGGTGAGTTTTCCCCAGATATTTGTGAGGAATTGGAATAATTCATTCAGGTGTGCGTGGGTGGGGGGTGTCTCTAGGCTGCCGTGTTCATCATACCCAAAGATGCTGCCAGTCCTCAAACGTTGTAGTCTGCATCCGAATCTCCTAGAGCACTGACGAAGCACAGTACTCCTCCTTCGCCCTTTTCTAAAACAGGAGAAGCGATGGAGAAGATAGGTATTTCTCATAACTTCCTGATGCTGTTGCTGCATAAAGGTTTATGCTCAAACTGGAATGTGTGTGCTGTAACATCTCAGCAGAACTTCAGAAAAATGCTTTCAACCTGCCTGAGGATCTGTGAGGCTGCCAGGAAGGAAGTCAAAGATTAATTCGGTTATAATACATACTACTTTTTTCATTTACAGACATGTTGCCTGTATTTCTGTTAGTCACGGGTCAACAATAATGTTTGGTGGTGCTTCAGTTCAATTCATGAGACACTGACTGATATGTACTTTGTATAAAACCCCCTGGACTACTTACAGATAATAATAGAATGAGTAAATTCAGCCCTAACCTTAAGGAGCTTAATACCTTGTAGTGATTTTGATAGCAAGTGTGTGTGTAGCTGTCCTCAGGAGCCCTGGTGGTAAAATGGCTCTCAAGTTGAGCCGCTTACTTCTGGGCTAGCAGTTCGAAAGCACCATCTACCCAGTATTCTGGGTCCCTGTGAGTCGGAACTGACTTGATGACAGTGAGCTTTTTCAGAACTGTGCTCGGTAAACATTTGACTAATTTCTGCAGGAGAGAGATGAGGCCATCTGTTACTGTAAAGAGTTGCAGTCTTGGGAAACCTGTGCAGGGTCACTGTGAGTTGGAATAGAGTCCATGGTGGGTTTGGGGTAGTTTTGAATGCTGACTGTTTAACGTCTGTGAGAGACACCAGCGATTCTAAGCCTAAAGGCTTGATCTTTCACTGTGGCATAGTTGGGTGTACAAGGTGAGTCTAGATAACGCGCTCCTCTTTAGCTGTGTATCAGTAGACTCACACGGGCTGTTAAAACTGGACGGAAACTAGTCAGAACATCTTTCAACAGATACTAAATAGTGCCTGAAGAAAAAATGTAAGACAGGAAAAGGAAAGCCCATGGACAACATTTTCAGGGCCAAGAGGGAAAGTTGGTGGCCAAACCAAGAGCAGGCATTTCCTTGCTTGGAGCCAGATCATTTTCAGCTTTGATACTGTGTGATGAGATGAAAAGATCTTAAGTATGAATGTATGTTTAGTTGCTTGAGAGGTAAAAACTTAGAGCAGTAAAACAACACAGTTCTGGTAAATGTGTGTCCTCACCTTGACTGAGGAATCTGTATAATCAAACATTACAGAGGCTAGACTACTTTGATTGTTGGTACCCAGCAAACCTGGCCTTGTTACTATATCCACTTCGTTTATACATGTGCTTACAGGAGCACCTGGGGGCAGGGAACCAAATTTCTGGAAACTATAGCATAATTAGGACAATTATCTATCAATTTTTTATTCCACGATATTTTATCTTTAATTTCAAATCACAGAATGACCAAATACATATTCTGATCTGATTTTTTTCCCCCCTTAAGTGCCATATGTGCAGCATTAAAAGGTGCTTTAAAAACCTTTGGCTATATAATACTTAATTTTAGGGTTAGATGCATCATTTTATATATATTGTAGTTTTGCTATCTACATAAATTACCACATATACTCATGTATATGCCGAGTTTTTCAGCACATTTTTAATGCCGTTTTTGCAGTAAAATTAGGTGCCTCATCTGATACTCGGGTTGGCTCATACTCGAGTGTATACTGTTATGTGTTGTGTTTGCTTTGTCTTCCTGACAGCACTTTTTTTCCTTTTTTTTTCCATAAAGGAAATGGCTTGGGTGTTAAAATCTAATTTTTCTTCTTTGAGTATTTACTTTGCTACTTCTCCAAATATAGCTTTTATGTTTATTATGTTTGGAAAATTTCATTAGTTATATGAACGACTTCCTGAGCCTTCCCAGTGACTAATTAAACCCAGAAACAGTCTTTGCAGATGCCAGACCTTTCTTTCTCTGCTGTCAGATAAAAACCAGGAACCCTGAAAGTGCATGACATTTTTAGGAATAAGGTAATGCCATACTCAGTACTAGTGGCCATTTCACCATGACAAGCCAATAACTAGACACAAAGCCCAGCATGTTATTTTTGTTTACATACAATGTAAAATTGGAAATTCATTTTAGAATATTATTACCAAATTAAAAGAAAAGGAGCCATCCAGAAGTCAGAAAGGAGCAAACACCAGGAAATAGAAAACATTGTATTTGTCTTTAGTCGCTGACTGTGCTTCTAGTCAAGTATTTCATCCAGAAATTTCCGATACTGTTTGTTATACGAAATGTTTTCAAACAAAAGCATTTCAGCTGCTTTCTTCTCCTTGGTAGTCCCTTGAGCATTGTCAGAGGAGATAGCTAATGGAAAATGGTACTTTTTATAGATATGAGGGGTTTAATTAAAGTTTCCATTAGATGAAACATTTTTAATGAGGCGGGTGAGAGTGTTTTATGTTTCATATCCCATTCATAAAAATGTGGTAGATGGCTGTAACTAGACTCTATTCCTGGAAATCTTTTGAAATAGTCTATACCATTGAAATTATATTCCCACATGCGAAGTGCTGTAAATAGAATTTTATAAAACAAAAGACAAGCTCTTTTTTACTTTTCTCTTTATTTAATAAAACATAACAGCCTAGTGTGGCCCTTGTGTTTCTTGAGGGGGGGTTGGTTCTTTTTCCTCTCTCTTCTTTTTCCTTCAATTTTTGGTTGGGAAAATGAAAGAATTTGATACCCAGTTATTTTAAAACTACTGTTCTAGAGGCTTCTCTGTTTTTCTTCCTCTTTCCTGGGATACTGTTTTCCCTTTTTAGACTCCAGAACATGTTCATTTTGGAGTGTTTTTTCCTCCTTGTCTCGCTGTCTTCTTTCACTCAGGGAGCCTTTTTGTGTAGCTAGTGTGCTGATGACTTTAGAAACACCCAGAGAGACCAGATCTGGCGTTTACTCATACGAAGCTTACACAGCTGGCGGGCCAGCAGCGAAGTCCTGACTGCTCGGGCTGCTTCATTCCCCCAGCCTCGTCTCTGTGCGTTTTTTTTGCTTGGATTTACTTATACTTTGAAGGGGCCCAGATTCCAAATTCGTTGCCATTAGGTGGAGTCTTAACTCTAGAAGACGCTTTGTGCTCCGTGAGATTTTTCAGGACTGTGACGTGTTGGGAGTTGATCGCCAGCCTTTCCTTTCAAGGCAGTTAGCTGTCTGTACCATTCATTGAAGCATTGCACCTGTCACAGGCTTCAGTCCCCTCTCTTCATATGCCATGGAGTTGGCGCTGCCACTTGGCTTCCTCCTAGATTCGAAAAGTGAATCAGAACAGCTGGTGGTCGGTGACGGTTGTACCGTTGCACCCACTTGCTTCTCCCTGCGCAGTGCTATAGCAGCCACACTGGACAGTTTAAGTTACACATTGCTCTGCTTGCCTGTTGTCTCATTTTCCAGCACAAAAACTAGAACTTGTGAAATGTAACTCGTTTGTTAAACTTAAAAGTTCAGCTTACCTATAAAAATGGTGCAAACCTTTCTTTCTTTCTTACAGCATTTTAAGTCTTCCACATCAAGCGTCTCCAGTGTCCCGCACCCCAAGCCTCCCTGCGGTGGACACGAGCTACATTAACACATCCCTTATCCAGGACTACAGGCATCCTTTTCACATGACGCCCATGCCTTACGACTTGCAAGGTGAGTCACCAAATGAATGCCTTTCATCTAGAGTCCTCTGCTGGGTGAGTCTCAGAAGGAATTGAGAAATGGGGGTTACATATGGAGGCGTGGGCCAAAAAAAGAGGGAGAAATTTATACTGTTGTCATAGATACCCATGCTTTAGACTCTGAGATTCTACGGAAAATTCCTGGGCCACAGGTAGATGGGCCTGAAACTTGGCTAGTGAATTCTTAGTGATTGCTAGGAAAACCCTATCTGAGTACAGTCTAATAGCACTTTCTGAAATGTGGAAATATTTTACCCTCTACTGCCTAGTACAGTTGAGCCACTAGCCCCGTGTGACCGAAGAACTGAGTTTTTAGTATTAGTGAATCCTAACACATTTAGCCTCATGTGGTTAGTGGCTCCTTTGTTGGACAGTGACAGTAAGTCCGATCTCTCACTTAACCCACAACCACATCTCATTATCAAGAACCATAGGGCTATGCATATCTGTTGTGTTGACAGTGACTGGACCCCCCTCACAACCTGACTTTCAGAGGATGTGGGGTGGACACATCTGCTTGTACTTCTCCAAGATTAGCTATCATAAGGAGGTAGATCTTTTGTACATGTTAGCTGCTTCCCCGCACGCTGTTGCACTACACTTTACACAGGGAATTGCAGTTCATTACACCTGGGCAATGTCTCCAAGCATGTCGATTGGAAGTGGCCTACTTGAAGTAAATTCCTGCAACCAAAGGTCAGGGCTGGTCCTTCTGTAAAGACCACCACCTCAGCTCTTGGACACCCTGTGCTGCTCCGTGTCCCCCACCCCCACCCCCAGTGATCTGTGAGGTTTTGAGTCTGCGAACAGCTGACGAGTGAGGGAGAGGGAAAGAGCCGTTAGAAGTAAACCTGTGCTACAGCTGGCCTCATCTCTTAACTTCAAACTTTATTTTCTGCAAAGTGGGGCCCAAATTAATAACAACCGAAAGGTGTTTGTAAGGAATAGATTAGATTGAAAGGTTACTTAAGGGGCGCCCTTGAGAGGACTTGGGGGACAGTGCTATCCATGCCAATGGAGGGGCTGAGTGTTAGATCTAAGAGATAGGGTATCAGTGGCCAGTCCCACAGACAAATTCACAGAGCTGCGAGGCAGTGCTAATACTGAGTCAGCCTTAGTGATCTAGAGAGGGGAGAGCAGAAAGCTCATGCAGCTCAATTCTTTATGTTTAAATACAGTTCCAAATGATGCAGCAGTTGACGTTTGTATTAGTTTTTGAGATACTGCAGCATTTTGGACTGTTTTTTCTTTGTATTTTTGCCAACACTAAAAACATTTTTTTTCTTTTTTTTTGGTTTTACAGGATTAGATTTCTTTCCTTTCTTATCAGGAGACAATCAGGTATGCTGTGTGCAGAAATGACTGTTTTCATTGAACATGGAAATATTTTGAAGTGTAACATGTAGCCAAGAGAAAGAAAGAACATTTCCTTGGAAATGACATGTGTTGTGAGTGGAATGCAACCTAGTGACCTGTGTGGGCGAACCGAGCCACCTGCCCGACAGGGTGTTCTAGGCGATCAGCTCTGCGGAGCAGATGGCTGGGCCTCCTTTCCTACCAACCAGTAGCTGGAGGTTTCAAATGCCAGACTTCTGGCTCGCAGCTAAGTGCTTGACCACTGTACCACGCACTAGGGTTCTTTAATGTGCAGCAAAGAGAAAGCGAATTCTCTTTGAAGAAAGAACTCGGTGTGCTCATCCCTTTATTGTTAAATCCAGAATCTCTTTATTTTAGTGGAACCTGAGTGCGTGACATGGACAATGTCTGCCTATCTCTTTCCAGCAGCACGACTTTAAAAAGACGCACAGGTCCCTGTATCCCCAGTGATGGTTGCTTTCTGGGCCATATGGTTTCTTAAGAGAAGATACCTTGTACACATCTTTTGAGCACGTGCCCCTCTAGAAGTAGCATTTTTAGAGTTGCTTGCAGTACAAATTTCAACCCAAAACAAAAGGTTTGCTTTTGTTTTTCTCCCTTCATAGCATTACAACACCTCCCTCCTGGCTGCTGCAGCCGCGGCAGTTTCGGACGATCAAGACCTCTTGCACTCGTCTCGGTTTTTCCCATATACCTCCTCGCAGATGTTTCTCGATCAGCTAAACACAGGGGGCAGTGCTTCTCTGCCCACCACCAACGGAAGCAGTAGTGGCAGCAACAGCAGTCTCGTGTCCTCCAACAGCCTAAGGGAGAGCCATAGCCACACCGTCGCCACCCGGAGCACGGACACAGCCTCCATCTTCGGCATCATCCCGGACATTATCTCGTTGGACTGACCCTGCCCCTGCTGCTCCGCCCCGACCCCAGATTAAGTGAACTTGGCCAGAGAGGAGAACTTTGTGCTCTGTTTTACCCTATTCTGTTTAGAAAAGTACGCAAGCGTGGTTTTTTGTTTTGTTTTGTTTTTTTTCCTTTTTTTAAGGAAAAAAATTAAAAGAATTGTACAGAGAACAAAACTATATTTTCAGTTTTACTTTTGTATATAAATCTAAGACTGCCTGTCTGATAAAACACTTGTTTAAAAAAAAAGGAGGGCGGGGGGGAAAGAAACAGAAAAAGAAAAAAAATACCCATAAACCACCTTCAGTTTATTTTTTTCCCCCTGGATTCTGAAGATTTTCCTCGTTTGTCCTATGGTTTGGGTTCTATTTTACTTCCGACAAATGGCATTATTTGCAATAACAGAAGAGGAATTGCATGTATGAAGTTTTAAATTGTGGGCTTTTCTTTGTTGTGGGGAGGGGCTGTGGGGAGATAGGTTTAATTTCCATTTGCTAAAAGTGATTGTGTGTGTGTGTGTGTGTGTGTACGCGTGCACATGCGCGCTCATATTTTATCCAGCCTTAAGTTATAACTCTCATCTGTCCGACTGCATTCCCTCTTATTTCCAGGACATAGCTCGTGGGGTGGGGAGGGGGTCAGCGTGTGTGTGTTTTCTTGTCAGCACCGTTCCTTCTCTTCCCAGGTTTGCATTCGGTTGACTTGTCAGTTGCCTGCTTCTTTCAAAAAGTGCTTTGAAGGCCTTGAGCTTGCATATAAGCATCTTTATCAACTACCCCACTTGCATGTTCTCCGTCACATATTCTCTTACATGTTAGCTATCCCGTGAGAATATGTTTTAGAGATAATGGAGTAAAGCTGTCAGGGTAAGAATTAAGAGCAGGCTTTGCAGACCTGTGAATAACAAATACACTGTTCTAGTTCGACTTCTTTATTCCGAAGCTTGATCGCCAGTATTGTGTATTTAAGCAAAGTCTGGGAAGACCTGCTCTTTTGGCCACAGGGTAATGAGTTTTCACGGAGGACCTTCATACCAAAGTAGGAAGTAACAGTAGTTCAGAAAGCCCTGTTGCATGTCTTGTACAGCTGAAAGAGGTAAAGTTACATCAACTCAAAAAAGGAAGTCAGTAAATTCTGCTTTGAAAATACAGTGCACCACACCTGTCAGTCTTAGAAATGTGCTACTTGATAAACAGTTGAAATACAAAATAGGTGTGAACCTTAATCATATTTTATTCTCTACTTCTGATTAACCTAGCTCCCTTATTTGCTTTGTTTATTCTCATCTTTGAAAGGCAGGCATGCCATAGGAAAATCACTTTTTCCCCTTAAGAATCTCTGGATCAGTCTGCTCTATTCTTTGTAATCACACAACGTGTAAATATTATTATTGAAAGCTGTTTTCCAAGGGATGAGTGAGGGCTGGAGGGAAGGAAAAGTGGTTCTACTTGTGTCCCCAAATCCTTATCAGAGAAGGGATTACATTCTCAGGTGCGGAAAGTATTTTTATAGCTGATTGAAAGTGCATGTTTCACCAAAAAGATAAAGAAGGGGCATAATGATTGCCAGTTTTCCAGACTGGATTTTTGTATCTGAACTGTTACCGCTAACGCATTGTTCTCAGAGTTGATGAAGGACCTCTTTTTTGGTTTATAGACTTGTCTTTTTAAACCATGTATTGGTAACAAAACGACCTACTGTCATTTCAGGTAGAATTCAAGATGGCAGTATCTTTGGTTGTATGCTAAACTTAATGGTTCACATGACTGTGTGGCGTCTAACTATATTGTCTGTTTTTACAGCATCTCGCTGCCACTAAATGGACTTGAATTTGGAGGTTGGGGGAAGTTTGGTATTGATATGTATATGTGTGTGTGTGTATATATGTATTTATAGATAATAAGTGAGTGACTGAGCTATGCAGTCTTCCCTTATGCATGTGTTTTCCACACACAAATGGCTGAGTTATCGTCACTAAACAATTTGCAATAAAAAAGGAAACACCACCAAACAACAAAAGTGGATTCATTGTCAGTTAAAACAGGAAGTAGTTATTTTTTTATGACTAGTATTATGATGAGTAAATGCTTTACATAGTCTTACTGTATTCAGACAAATGTTTAAGAGTATCATAATTTGAGTTTAAATTTGGACTGAGGTAGAAATTGTGGGGAGTAGTTTCTTACTTCATTTTGCAATAGGACATGTATTTTTAGTCATTCAACTACCTAAGGTGTAAGGTGAATAGTTTGTGTTTTGTTTTTATTTTTGGTTCCCTTTATCTGTCCTTTGTGGTCCCAACGCTCTGATCAATAACTGTGTGTGATGCTAAATTACAAACTCTTCAAGTGATCCAGCTGAAAATCCTCCCTGCTCCCCGCTTGAGCCCCGTTTAGTCAGAGCTCTCTTCATTCTCTGCATTACACCAGCCTGATGGAAGGACACCTAGTCGAGAGAAATAAATGTCTGGCCAGTGGCAATGGTCGTGTCTCTGTTCAGTTGTCCATGTGTTTGAGTCCATTCCGTCCTGTGGGAAGCTCGTTTCTGTCAGCTATTGACTGTCCAGGTTGTTACGTTATTGGTGTTCGTCACTCTGTGGGTCTCATGCTTGCTGGCAGTCTGTGACTTCCCATAACTAGTAGCGGAGTCCTGCACCGTGTCCTCCTTTCCTCTTCAGACAAACAGCCCAGCTTAGTTACGCCATCCCTTTCCCTTAGCCCATCTGCATTGCCCCAGCCCGCCAGGATTGACATGCTGTCCGGGAGCAGATAGTGGTGCTCAGAACCCTCACGCAAGCTTCCACGTCCCCAGGCCTCCATCGTCATGACCAGTGTGCTGCTGTCTACGGGTGTGTTTCTGTGCCGTGCTGTGTGTGCATGCGTCTTTGATAAAATAGCTGTTTGAGTAACAGGGTTGGTTGAAGTGGCTTTTAATTACTTGTGGGCATTATTGGACATCTTACAAGAATCTGAACTTTTACCATATGCTGTATTTAGGTGACTAATTTACTTTGAGCATTACAGTTTTTCTACTATTAATTTAGGCATTCTCACAATTCTATGTCATTATTAACATAGTAAGAATTCACCTAAATGTTTTAAAAATATGATTTCTTGGCAGATTTTCCTTTGAGTCAGATCTGGAACAAATTATATTCCTGGTTTTAAATTATTAACTGTAGGAAGCACATCGGTGTGTGTTTTTTTAATATATATGTTTTAATACTACATTTTGAGATCTTTGAGACGCTAAAGCACATTTGAAATTATTTTAGTAAGAATTTTGTTGTACAAGACATGTTAAATTCTGTTTTCTTAATGAAACACAAAGCTTAGATTTTAAAAAGAGGGAGGACGAAATGCTGGTGGTCCCAGAGTGTGCTGCTGTTAATTGTTTAATTAACAAAGGGGAAAATGTATATAAACAGATATAAAAGTTACCATAAATTCCATGAACTTAAATCTGTGATTCATTGCCTTAAAACTTTCTCTCTTAGAATTTCCATACCGCATGCCAAACCAGTAAAATGGCTTTTAAAAATGTATAGTAGACCAATGTCAGTTTGTATAAAAGTACCAAGTGAAAATATTTATTACTTGCATTGGAAAAAAAATTGTTTACCTATTATTGAATGTTACCTGTTTATGTAGAGCTCTTTAGATGTAATAAAAGAAACTCCTTCAGTTACTTGGTCGTCTGTAAAATACACCGCTGAGTCCTCAGGGAGACAACCCCAGAAGAAAGTGCTCACGCTTGCACCTTCCACAGCGCCTTTCACGCTGCTAGGCCAAAGCATGCGTGACAAGGAACAAGCACACAGCAATCATTGCCCCTCCTCAGTGAACTGGCTAGCCTTGAAGTGGAAGAGCGCCTGCTTGGTTTGAAGTCTCTTGAATACCTGCAGTTTGAATGCTAACAGCACCTTAAAGCTTTCTTGTGAACAACACGAAGGGCAAGCAGACCCAATTGGGATTTCAGAACTGAGTGGGGTACTAGGCTTGAGGTTGAAGTCCAAACACTTTACAAAATCATAGTGACCTGGGCCACTGCATACCTGTAATTGGGAACACGGAGACGTCCCTCAGTGAAGAGGGTCCCCGAGTTCTAATGGCCGCTCCACAGCACTGTTTCTGGCATGCTCGACTTCAGATCCCCACCCTTAAATCATTTCTATGGGAACCCTCAAGAAAGATGGGGCTCTCTGTTCCTGCAAAGAGTTACAGCCTTGGAAGCCCACCGGGGCAGTTGTACCCTCTCTTCTAGGGTCCCTGTGAGTCGACATGGACTCCGAGGCAGTGAGAAGAAGTGGGAGCCCCCTGCGGGAAGAGGGCGTGGCTGGATGTTCCCTTGAGGATTGCAGAACATGGCCACTCGGACAGATTGCCGTAAGTCCAGTCCATAGCAGTAATAGGTTTCTTGTTTGGTTTTAGTGAATTTTTTATTATAAATTTGGTTCGATGGCAGGAGGCAACAGGTTTTAAAACCATAATGCTGCATGACAAATATGAAGGACTTCATAAAGCTTGTGCAGAAAGTTCCTTTAAATAAAAAAACGTTTTCCACAAGCTTTGGAAGCCCCCTGGTATAGGTTTAAGGAACATTGGAGGGAGTAGGCCTTTGTTTACTACTACAGGCCGGGGCTTCCTTCTTCTCTGCCATGGACGCCAGGTAAGCCTTGCTATCACATCCATGAGTTAAGAAGGGTTCTCGGCAGTGGCGTCACGGGTTGGTGTCGGTCTCACCCCACCCCCACCCCCACACATGGACTTCCTTTCCTAGCAGAATCAATCATGTTTATCATCAAGTTTAACCAGGGTAATATGTTAAATACAGTGATGTTATACTAGTTCTTAGGTTATGAGTACTAACAAATGCTTTGCAAAATGAAATGAAAACATTACAGTACTTGAGCAGAAACCTTTTTGATTTATTTTTTTCTTTTTCCTGGAGTTACTGTTTCGTTCTCAAGTCCGTTATTTCTGTAGGCTCACAAATAACTAACGACCACAGTATTGTAGCTGGTAGAGCACCAGGACATTTGACCAAACTGACCGTAAAACACTGTCCGCGAGAACAGTACGTGCTCGTAGTGCATGCAGACGGAACACGTGGTTCAAAGTGCCCCAAAAGTCGGGTGCCGACAGCTCTGACCAGCGTGCACTAGAAGGGCCAAAAAGTAAATGTGAGCTTGGGCCTTGTAGCTGGAATTAACCCCACCCCAAGAAGGCAGTTTTGATTTTTACAGCTAGCTGCAGAGATAGTTAGGAAATTAAGAATTTGTATTAAAAAAAATGACCAAATGACCAAATCATATAAGCCTCCAAAGCAAGAACCAGTCTCACTGCCATCAAGTCGCGTCCCCCTAGGACATTGTAGAACTGCCCCTGTGGGTTTCTGAAACGTACCGTAACTCCTTATGGCAGTAAAAAGCCCTGTCTCCTGCGGAGCAGCTGGTAGTTTCAAACTGCCAATCTTTCGGGTTGCAACCCGATTTGTATAAGTCTTAGGCCCCACAAAACCTGGGTCTGCCCCTGCAGCACAAGATCTGGGTGAACACACTGCTTCGTCATGGGGAGGTCCCTTGACTGCCTGCCCTCCACAAAACCCTTCCCTGCAGCTCCTGGCCTTCCCATCAGCAATTAGAGCTTTGGGGAAAGAAAGAAAAATCCTTTCTCAGAACCCAGTGTATCTGGAGCCACACCGCAACGTGTGATGTTTGCACAGAGCCTGTGCCAGTCTTCCTGCACTTACGCCGCCCCGTCCTCAGTCAAGATTTCTGTCTTAATAATTTCCCCAAAGGCACATGCCTGTCTTCTTTTATCTTTACCTAACTAAGACACCATTAGACCAAGCCACGGGCCAGAGAATCAACTTTGGATTCATAGGAAGATGAAAATCTCTGCCATTCGGTGTGCTGATGCGAGACTCCAGAGCTTTTTAAGGCAGTGCTAACGCTACAAAGTGCACAAATGTAGCACCACCTGTGGGACTCGGGCAGCACCAACCCGTGCCACATCCTGACTGTTGAGCTAGGAGGGCTCCCAGAAGGATCAGCATCCCTACAACTTGTCCAGACCTCTTGTATCTCTGGCCCTGGCTGCACTTTCAAATCGGACTGCAGCCAGTCACGACATCCCCTCTAAGCCCATGTCACTGTTGTTAGACAGTGGTTCCAACCCAACCATCTTATATATGTTCAACAGGAAACAACACCTGGCCCTTTCCTTAGACCTGGGCAAGTGAGTTGAGGCCTTGGATCCACTTAAGTTAAACAACCATACTAGTTCCTTGAGACTCTGGTAACAGAGCCCAGGAGAGAGCTGGGAATTGTAGCAAGACTGTCCAGGCCTCTCAGAAGTCTGGAAGGCCTTTGAATGCAGGATGCCCCGTCTTGCGGTTTCCTTTGGTGTGGTTTCCTTTGGTGCAAAAATGGGACATTTCTGCATCCACAGGACTGTGCTCCACTCTGCTCTGTCTAGGAACGAACATTCAGAACTGTATTTGGAATGGAAATGAGACTTTGTAAGTGGCCTGTGTGCTACAAGAACTGTTGCGTAAGTTTTGGATTTAGTCATGGGTCCCACACTTTTTGGTCTACCGCCCTCTTTTCAGGAAAATTTACTCAGCTCCGCCCTGGCAATTGAAAACTTTTGTGCTGTAACCCATAATCCAGGGTAAAGTTTAGGTATCTGCTTTTGCAGCCTCCTGGATCATTTCAGCGACCTCCATGGGGTGGCACCCAGCCCACTTTGGGAAACAATGGTTTAAGCGATTCGTGTGTGTGTGTGTGTGTGTGTGTGTGTGTGTGTGTGTTTATAATGCATTTTGCGTGTTGCTGCTTGTCAGCATTGGCTTTTCCCCTTAGTGATGTGAAAAGTAGTTGAGCATGTACTTGGGGTATATTTGTTGCAGGAGAAGCGTGATCTGAATTGTGTAGTGCTGTAGAGTTTGCAAAGGCATTTTCAAATCATGATCTCGGTCTGTCCTCTCAAGGAAAACAAATTATTTAAAAAATAATTTGTAACACCATAGGACAGCATAGAGTTGCCCAATTAGAGCTATCCTTGGTTAAGAATCGATAGGAGCACACTCCTTCATCTTCCGTCCGTGGAATGGGTGGTGAGTTCAAACTGCCAACGATTTAGTTAGCAGCCAAGGGCTTAACCACTGAGCCACCAGGGCGCCTTCTCCCTGAGGTAAGAAGTAGAAATCCCCCTTCCCTGAGGATCCTGAGACCTTGAAGCCTGAAATGATGAGCCCAGTCACACAGCAGGGCAACAATAAGCCAGGACCAGGAGCCGGGCCCAACTAAGCCACAGGCTCACTCGTACTAAAGCACTGAACTAGTGGCAGTTCTTAAAATCAATAAAAGTCATTTATTAAAGACACGCTAATACTACAGCTGAAACGATTTCCTTCCATTGCCAGCCAGTGATTCTCTGCTCCAGTTGTGTATTGTCATCTTGCTGCTGCGTTTGCTGTCTCCCTGAAGTGGATTTGAAAGCGCATCTTTCTGTGCCTCCAGGCTCAGGGAAGGTGCTCTGACCCTCAGCCCTTCAGTAGTCCTTCTTCGGAAGGGTAATCTTGTGGATGAATTCATCATACTTCACGTGGCCATTTGGTTCAATATTTGCTTCCCTGAAAAGTTCATCCACTGCAATAAATCACATACATTTTTCAGTTTGGCTGTCGTGTTACATTTTAGGACATCGAGTTCTTTGGGGACTGGGACTCCCCTAAGTGTCCAAAGGACTGTTCATGTAAACTGGGAAGTAAACCAGTCCAACAAAAGGACGGCTTGCTCCACCCCCCTTGGAGACCACCCTGTTCAATGCTGAACTAAGTGGGCTTTTTGCCAGGGCTGGGCTGGGCTAGGACGATGCTCTGGTTAGGGTTCAGTCACTTAAACTATCCTGGGTGTTTTTTCTTTTAAGAAAATATGGGGCCCCGGTGTCTCGAGTCCCAGAAATCTCTGGCCTGGAATTCCACTTCCTAGCCCAGCCTCTGAGCACCCTGCCCAGCTCACTGTCAGCCAGCCCCAGGCCTGCCCTTGACCGGGCTGCCCTCTCTTCCAGTTCCAGGTCAGCATTCCCACCACCCCTGCCCCCCAGCAACAGGGGACTCGGAGACAAGCAAGGTCTTACTGCTTAACATCACTGCTTAAGAAATTGTGAGTTGGTGGGGGGTGGGGGGGGTTGAGCAACATAAGAATACAAAACTGATATTGTTTGGGGGCGTTGCTAAAAAAAAAAAAATCAATTCCATTGCTTGCTGCTTCTGCTTCAGGATTCCGAGATCAGACTAGCTTGTCCCTGGTGTTGGTAAGAAGACCCATTTCAGCCTGCGTGTGTCTCCAGTCCGCCTCTCTGGGCCGACTGCCTGTGGCCCTTGGGAGCATCCTCACTCACCTGCAAACACACACACTGCCCTGCGTGGGCTGGCGTGCCCTGGGCCTAGCTGCCCCCGATGCACCCAGTTCTGAGCAGTGAGGAAATGCCCTATGATTCTCAACTGTGTCCCAGGTGATAGCCGTGGATAGCTATAGCGAACTGATAGGAGACTAATTTATCTTCTTTCCCTGAGCAACATCTACCCATCCGTCTGCCGGTTAAATCTGCCCCCATGGATCTGCCCAGGGCCAGCTCCAGCTTGAACCCCTGTCCAGGGGACGACGCATCACCTCAAAGCTAGGTGCTGACACCCACTGATGCCACAGGTAAAATAGTGTGTCCTCTGACCCCCTTAGAAGAATCAGGGTGCTCCAGGGAGCCTGCTTCCGGGCCTCAAAAGGGAGGCCTGTCCGGCAGCTTGCAGCCACTGCCCCAAAATGCTTCTTAATCAAACTGAAGCGTTGCTTCTACTCCCCCGGCCAAGGGCTCTGCCTCCAGCCATCTTTCCTGCCCCTCACTGCAAAGGGAGTGAAGCCTGTCCCCCAGCTTGGCTGGGACCCATCACCAGTTTCTTTGATGGTTAAACAAATGAGAGATGAATGGGAGTTTGGGGGCCCTGGTGTTTGCTTTAGACAGAGATCATTAACCACAAGCATTAAGCACTGGGCAGGTCCAATCTGCTGGGGGGGAGGGGAACTCCTCAGTGCAGGCCCGAGGGCGTCCCTGTGGGCCCATCCACAGGGGCAAGACCACAAAGGCAGGCACGCTCCGGATGGGGTGGGGTTGGGGGGGAGGCCAGGATGATAAAGCCTTCTGTGGCACTGTTTCTAAATGCCTTCTTGTACCACCACATCCTTTTGACTGCACCAAGGGCTCAAGTAGAGAATGATGACAACAACAGATGTACAAGTGTGCTTGACACAATGGACGGATGGATTGTGATAAAGAGTTATATGAGCCCCCAATAAAATGATTAAAAATTAAAGAAAACCCAAACAGTGATTCAGAGAGCTCTTGGAGGGCTGTGGTTACCTCGTTCCATACTGAGGAGGATGGGCAAGGCGAAGAACCCTTGTCTGAGCACCCTGCCCCCTCCAGGGAGGATTCAGGGTGCCAGCCCCTCCCGTGGTTTGTTGTGAAATCAAACCCGGCTTTAATGAAAGGCCTCAAGTTAACTCAGAAGGAATCCTTGTCCCTCGTGTGTGTATGGGGGGGGGGGGGGTGCAGATGGGGAACGGCTGTGGTGGCAGCACCCAGGAGCTAGCCAGCCAGGCAGTGTCCCCTCAGGCTGGATGAGCATTCACAATCAGCCCAGCCTTGGGGTCACCCTGTACAGACCACAAAGGGCTTTCCCAGGGTACCCAGGGCCAGGGGTCTGGCTCCTGGGGGGACAGGAGAGCAATGCTCGCCCGCTGTGGCAGCATGGGCCCCCCAACCCCGTTCCGCAGATCTCTCAGAGCTGCTCCCCCTGAGGAAGGAGAGTGGGCACAGCTCGGCCTGAGCTCTGGGCATCTGCAGTGGACAGCGTGCTAGGGGCTCAGGCACAGCGAGCCTCGAGGAGCCGCTGCTGGCGGCCTCCATGACTGTCCATCTGGATTGCGCAGGCTGTCCTACCTGTCTCCTGAGAAGCAGCAGGTGGGTTTGAACCGCGGACCTTACAGCTAGCCGCCCAACACTTGAACTGCTGTGCCAGCCGGGAGTCCTAATGACAGGCATCCAGACCCCAGCCCTGCGAGCCACAGGTACCCACTTGACATCCTTTGTCGCTGGGAGGTCGGTCGGAGCCCGAGTGACACGAGTGGCCCTGCACCCAGCTGCTCACCTGGTTGGAGGTTCGAGTACACCCTGAGATGCCCCAGAAGAGGGCCTTGTGATGGAATTCTGAAAAGTTGGCCATGAACTCCTCAGCAGCACAGTTCTACTCTGACACGCCTGGGGTCGCCTCCATGCCAGGGGTTTCATGGGGGTCCCTGCACTCACAGAGGCGTTCGTCGTACACGTGAGACGCAGGTCCACAGGAGGAGCTAAACACCGGCAGGGCCCAAGTAGATGCGCCCGTGCCCCATCTTCCAGGGCTGCGGGGGGGCGGGGGGTCACCCCAGGGCTCCAGGCCTCAGTCCTCAGGGACAGGAATCAACTGTGGGGGAAGGGGTCTCCACAGCCCCGGGTGGCAGTGACTGGCTCCAGTGCCCTGCCAAGCCCCTCCCACAGCTCCTGGGAGGCGGAGTCCCCAACTCCTACCTTCCTTGTGGGTGAGCTTCTCCCCCAGTTTCGTGAGCTTGGAGCGCAGCTCTGAGGCCGGGATGTAGCCTTTCTTCTCCCTGTCAGCCATCAGCATGGCCAGCAGGATCTCTTTCTTCGGGTCTTCTTGTTTGACTTGCGTATGCATAATGGTCAGGAAAGTCGAGAAATCCAGCTCTCCGTTTCTGTCTAGGGAACCCCCAAACAGCACAGTGAGCAGCGTGAAACTCCTCTTTGGGGCCCAAGCTTTCCCAGCCTGGCCCAGGAGACCACCGACTCCAGAGTCAGGGTGTGCTCTGAAGCACAGTAGGGATGCCTGCGTTAGGCCAAGCACCATGCCACCCTGGGCAGCCATTGCTTACAGTAGGAGGGGCAGGAGATGATGCCACCAGAGACCTGAAGCCCCATCCCAGCCTGGTGTGCCCCTCAGTCTTGCTTCCCCAGGTGGGCCTCACCTAGGGAGTGTGCTAGGGGCTGAGGCCCACACCCGGAGAAATCAAATCCTCCATCCCACTGTAGCTTCCTGTTCAGAGGACACAGGAACCACTTGGAAATGGGAGATCTCAGGTGCCAAACCACTGGGCAGCCCAACAGGGGTGGGTCCCAGCCATCAGCTGCAGCCCCCTCTATGGGCTCTCCAGGAAGCCAGCAGAGGGTGACCAGCCATCCCGTAAGTAGGAGAACGGGCTGATGGACAAGTAGCCTAGGAGTTCCAGGCCAAGTGCTTTTACCCAGCCACTCTTGCCCACCAAAGCAAAGGGGTCCCCTCCAAACCCAAACTCCCTGCCATAGGGGGTGATCCCGACTCATAGAGACCCCCACAGGACAGGGTAGAACTGCCCCCGTGGGTTTCCAAGGCGGTAGCTCTTTGTGGGAGCAGAGAGCCTCATCTTTCTCCCTTGAGCTCTTGAGCTTAGCAGACCCATGTGTAATCTGTACCCTCTCTCTCTCTCTCTAACTGCATGCTTACTTCTGATGACACCAAGCTCCCATTGTAGAAAACACAGGAAGCAACCCTGATGGCGGGAACAGCCAGAGGGAACCACGTGAAGGCTGGGGTGGGTTTCTTCTAGGCCCTTTTCCTTAGCGGCATTGCGCAGGTCAGGCTTTGAGATCAGAAGCACCGGTTGGTTCCCACCCCGATTCCACTGTTGGGTTGAGGGACTTGATGGCTCTTCACCTGGGCGCTGGGCGCAGGGCAGGTCTGAGTCTAGCCGGGAGCATGGGAAGTCTTCCGGAAGAGGAAACTTTCCTCTAAACGCACAAAGGGCACCACCCTCCACACCCCAATGGCCTTGTTTTATGCTTGTGACGAACGCATGGGTTGGCCTTGAAGTCCTCCCTGACATGGCCCTCAGCGATGGGCTCCCCAAGACCCCAGCCCAGCAGTGGCCTGGGTCACTTACCTATGTGGTGGGTGTGGAGGTGTCGCTGCACCTCCCCCTGTGTCGGGCTGGCCCCCAGGCACCTCATCACCACCATCAGGTCGGAGGCTCTGATCTTCCCTCGCTGCTGCTGGTCATACAGGGAGAAGCACTCCTTGTACTCTGTTCACAGCCCCAGGGGACAGTTAGGACTCCTTCTTCCACACCCCCAAGTCCCACCCCTGCTCCCAGCCCCTCTGAGTCCTGTCCCACTCCCCACCCGCTCACCCCTCGACCTCTTCCCTCCCCTCCTCAGCAAACAAGAACACAGGCCTGTCAGGCGAAATTTAATTTCAGATACATGATGAATAGCGTTTCAGCGTGGCCCAAATATTATACAGCACGTATTTAATACTAAACAAGTATTTGCTGTTTATCTGACATTCAGATTCAACCCAATGCCTGTATTTTATGTGAACTTCTATCCACTCCTGCCTTTAAATTTCCTTTTATCTGCTCCCGGCTGCAGCCCTGTTCCCTCCCCCTCCTACTCTCTGCCTCTCCCCCTTCTCTTCCTCCTACTCTCTGGCCCTCCCCCCTTCTCTTCCTCCCTCCTTCCTCTCCCCTCTCCTCCCCCATAGCTGACTGAAACCTCAGTCACCCTGTTGGGCCAGACCCAATGCCCAGAGTTAAGGGCACCTTTGCAAACCAGTCTACCTGGGGGTATTGCTGTCTTTGGGATACTTTGAGGCCCAGAAATTCCTTCAGGGAAGGCCTGGAAGACAGTGGCCTTCATTGAAGACACACATACACGTTGCTGGGAGTCTATTCCAGCCACACCAGGCGGCCCCATGTGGTATAGCAGAGAACTGAGCTGTAGGGTTTTCATGGCTTTAAAGTTGAGGGTAAGGAATCCTGGTGGCTGGTGGTGCAGCAGTTAAGCACTCCAGAGGCCAGCAGCTGACTGAAAGGTTGGCAGTTTGAACCCACTCCGTGTTTCTTCAGAAGAAAGCCCCGGCAACCTGCGGTCTGCCCCTGTAAAAAGGGGCAGCCTGGGAGAACCTGTGTGGCACTGATTAGCAGGCCAGCCACGGATGGCCGGGCCCTTCTTCTGTGGTACTAACGTTGAGAGTACTGGTCCCACTGCCAATCTTTCAGAGTAGTCCGGGGCAAGCTGTGGCATCCAGAGGCTGCCCTCACTCTGCAGATCTGCAGGCTGATTGGTATTTGAACGGTCCACACTGCTGGGGCCCATGCCCCACCTCTACGTGCAGGTGGCAGAGTGCTCCAGCTACCTGACAGCACTCAGTGCAAAATGCAGAGAATGTCTGCGATAGAATGAGAGGCTTTGAGGGAATGAGTCACGGGGGCCTCTGTGTCCAAGGACCCTGGCGTCCAAGGTCAATTGGCCTAACAGCCCCCAAAGTCACTGGTTTGCACCCTACTCTGGGGAGTAGTGACCTCAGTCACTTAATAGCCTGTGAGCAGTCAACTACGCTGCAACCATTGGTCAGCCCGTCTGGAGCAAAAGAGAGTGACAGAAATCGAAGATGCTTGGGAACGATTAGTCCGACAGGTGGGTGGACCATGCAGACATAAGTTGTCAGGACCCTGAGCCCAGAAGAACTAGATGGTGCCCGGCTACCACTACCAACTGCTCTGAAAGGGATCACTTTGGAAGGTTCCAGAAAATGTGGAACAAAACTAAAAATGATCACAGAAGACCAAGATTTCTGGTCAGACAGGGACTAGTGGCATCCCTGAGCCATGGAGGGCTACCCTTCAGACTAGGAAATTAATTCATGGACGTGGCTCACTCTTCAGCCAGACAATAGACAGTCCTATGGGGGAACGAGAACTTATGAACAGGGACTTAAGAATGTTTTAGAATAAGCAACTGGAGATCAAAAGGCTGGCATCTGTCCAAGGACACAGTTCAGAAAGGTGAGGAGAGGAGGAAGAATGGAAACGGGACATTGTGGTGATTGTTTTCAATGACGTGAAACAAAATGTGTTTGCATTATCGAGTGGAAAATGCATGTACTCAGTGGACTTTCACTCAATGAACAATCAGAAGTTTACAAAGTGCAAGAACAATCAGTTCTTATGACATCGTCTGGCGTGAGGCTCACCCTCAGGGAGAGAGTGTGGCAAAGAAACCAGATGGTCCCTGCCTGTCAGGGAGGAGAAGCGCTCTGGTGTCTTAGACGCTTGTCTTCAAACAAGCAGCCGTCTGAGGAAGGCCTCAACCAAGTCCACGTGGCGGAAGCCCAGCCGCTTGTCAAACCCCAGTCCAAAGGAGGGAGTGGGCTCAGAGCTTAACTTGTGAACACCTGGTTTGCAGAAGGCGATGGGCAACAATAGAAGCCCAAAGTCCATTTGTAGGGTCCACCGTGGATTAAGCCTCGGGTGGATCCCCTCTGACCATAGTTGAGGGACGAGAATAGCCTTGTTATCGGACAGAGAGCACCGTAAAGTTGATGATGACGATGTAGCTAGGTTAAATGTAATAGCTTATCATTTGATCTCCCCTTTGATCCATTTTAAAGTTGTTTCAGTTAAAACAACAACAAAACTCACTGCCATTGAGTCAATGCAGACTCATAGCGATCCCTATAGAACAGGGTAAAATAGCCCTTGTGAGTTTCCGAGACTATAACTATTTTTTGTGTTTTTCAGCAGTTTTATTCACAAGTAATTTACATATCATAATTCAGTAGTTCATTCAATCATATCATGGAAAAGTGTACAATCACCTCACATCAGAGATTGTAACTCTACTGGAGTAGAAAGCCATGTCTTCTCTTGAGTGGCTGGTGATTTCGAACTGCTGACCTTGCCCACTGCAGGCCAATTGGTAACCTAAGCCTCTGGTGAATCCCCTCTCCCGGGGCCCAGGGCTGTGAATAGCCCTGCAGAGCGCAGTGGGAGGGCAGTGGGTTACAGACACGCCTTTAGCTTAAAATGTAACACCTAACCATCTGAACTCCCTTCTGACCCATTTTAAATTTGTCCTGGTTTTTTTCTTCTACTTTCCTTTTGATTGAGGGTTTTCTCTGTTTTACTTTGTTATTCTTTTAAGTTTTGTTTGCTTTTTGGTGTGCTTTTCTGTATATGAAATCCAGGATAGGTAAAATCTAGAGACAGTAACTGGATTAATGGTTCCTGGGGGGCATGACGGAGGAGATCAGGGAGAAATGGGGAGCTAATGAGTACAAGAAAAGATGTTCTAAAATTGATTGTGGTGGTGATTGTACGACTCTTCTTATATGATTGAAATATTGGATTGTATGACACATGAATTATATGTCATTAAAACTATGAAAGAGAAGATAAAAAGTCCTTCCAGAGTCTGACTGTAATTTGGCTTGCTGCTTTCCCACTGAACCACTGTTTTCCTAGCTCTGTGTGGAGATGAAGCAGCGGCCAGAGGTAAGGCCTCTCTAGCTACACAGCTTCACAGCCCAGAGGGGCTGGCAGTGGGGACCATGTCCCCTCTCTGCCTCTGCCTCTGCCTCTCAGGCCCCGCCGCCCTGGAGCTTGGGGAAGACCCCTGAGACCACAGACAGAGACGCTGATTCGGGAAGTCAGGTGGGGTCTGTCTTCAGAATTGGCTAAAAACGTCCCATTGACAGAGGCGCCCTGGTGGCAAACCCGATGGAGCCCTCAACCACTAACGGTTGGTGTTTTGAAGCTGGCCCTCTGCTCTGGTGCGATCACAGCCTTGGGAAGTCCTCTGGTTCTGGAAATCGGGGCTGTTGACTCCCTACTCAGGTGACCCTAAACTAAGGTGGCCAGACGTCCCGCTTTTGGTGGGACAGTCCCAATTTTTAACAATATTTCCCGCGTCCTGCGGCATTTTTAAAAAGTCCTGATTTTTGGAAAGCTAGGGTATATGGTTTTCGGCTGCCATGTGGCTGTTTTCCCAGGATATGAGTTTTATCAATGGTGTCCCACTTTTGTCCCGCTTTACCAATGCTAAAATCTGGTCACCTTACCCTAAACCCACTTCCAGGGGTGGACCTGCCCTGGGCCTTGAGGACACCACAGGCCTGAGCTGGGCATGATCCATCTCGAGTGGCTGGGGAAGGCCTCAGTAAGAGGGTGACATCTCAACTTAGACCCAAAAGTTACCCACTGAGAGTGCTGCTTCCAGGGGTACAGCTGGCAGTCCCTCCCTTGGCCCAGGCTCCGACCCAGGCTCAGGCTCAGGCTCAGGCTCAGGCTCAGGCTTAGGCCCAGGCCCAGGCCTCCCCCGAAGGAGGGAGCCTCTGGTACTTCAGCCAAGCAGCTGGCCCAGGTCTCTGTAACCCAACTCTTTCGCTTAGTCTGGTGGAGGCAGAGTTACTCACACAGGCAAACTGAAGCCTGGTTGAGGGCCAGCAGGTCAGTCCATGACGTGCTCACCCCAAGATGGGACTGGTTTCAGAGCAGAGGGGAGCTCAGAGACCACCGTGTCTTGCCCCCATTTTACAGAGGAGGAGACTGAGGTCCAGACAGAGAAAGCATCCTATCTGAGGAGGCTGACCTCGGCTTTTTTCTAGTTTTCAGCTAATTACAAAGCCCCCTCCTTCTGTTAGGCCCGGGCCATGGCCAGTTCACAGACCCTCCACCCCCTGGCTCCTTCCTTCAAAAATCTCCTCTGGGTTCTGGAGGAAAGCCCAATGGGTCCCTCCCCATCCCTGCTGTTGAAATCACACTGACAAGTAAACCCAGGTACAGGTCTCCCTGGAGCCCTGGCCCCCCACCCGCCACTGCCGCAGCCACCCCTGGTCCCTGGGTGGGCCCAGCCACCACCATTGGCCTTCCTTCCTTCCACCTATAAAAAAATGAACAGAACAAATTGCCTAATGAGACCCATATTCGCTGGCAATTGCTAATTAAAGAGCAAACACAACCTACCATTAATCTGGTCCTGGGACAGAAACTTGGCCTGCAGCAGAGAGAAGACATGGATCAGGGAGTGACTGGAGTCCGCAGTCCCCTCCCCAGCCCGGTCAGCCCGCCAGGGTGGCACAGACCCACACTCACCATTCCGCCTGGTCACCTTGTGCCACCCGTGGGTGCCTGCTTTCAGTCCAGCAATCGGGGCTGCTTTTCTTCCTTGCTTCAAGTCGAAAGTCCGCCAAGCCGGCCGGGTGGAGGCCTCAGTAATAAAGCCACGCTGCCATGGCGACCGGGCCCAGCCACTGGGTCAGATTCCAGCTTCCGGTGCCACAGCCAGGGCTTGGCAGACAAGGAGGCAGCCTTGTGTTGAGCAAGTGGGACCAAGCGACTGGGGAGCCCCTGCCCGCCCAGGCCAGCTGATGCTCTGCAGCAGGACGGCAAATGCTGTGGTTCCTTCCTGGACCAAGTGCGTCCCCCTCCCAGAAGCTGTGTGGAGCATAGGTGACAAAATAGATGACCAGCACCCACTAAAAACAAGACGCGTACGTGCATCAAAAGAGAAAGTAAAAATAGCACTCATGGAATAGGAGACACTAGACAAGGGGCAATGCTCTACAATCTACAGAAGCTTGCAGCCCCCAATAAGAAACAAACACAGCAGCGAGACTGCTGCATCATATGGACCTTCTATTAAAACATGGGCAACACTGACTTCCAAATGGCCCACAGATCTATGAAGACATGCTCACGAACCACTAGCCACGTGAGAGGTGCAGATCAAAACCAGGATGAGCCCCCATGACACCGACACTGGCAGCCAAGTTCAATAAACAGAAAATAGCAAATGCTGGGGAGGCTGGGACCCTCATACACTGCTGGGGTGGGGGTGGGGCGGCGGATGCTGTCAACATGTACCACCGTGGTGAGAAGTTCTATGGTGCTCTCTCAAACCCCTGGGGATAGAAGGTCCATGTGATGCAGCAATCCCGCTGCTGTGTTTTATCCTAAAGAGCTCAGTCACAGCAGGAGCAGACACCCGCCCGCCCTCGTCCATCACAGCACTGCTCACCAGAGCGAGGAGAGGGCAGCACCCTAGGTGCCCGCCAGAGGGGCGTGGATACAGAAAGTCTGATACGTACACCCAGTGGGACACTGCAACCCCAAAAGCCGAACTCACTTCCCCTGAGTCGATCCTACAGGACAGGGTAGACCGGTATGGGGTGAGATGCGGTGAGTTTCTGAGATTGTAACTCTTTCTGGGAGTAGAAAGCCCTTTCTCCTGAGGCGCAGGTGGTGGCTTTGAACTGCTGACTTTTCTGGCCACAGCCCAACATGTAACCACCATGCCACCAGGCTCCTAATGGAATATTACTCATCGCTACAAAACAATGGAGCACCTCATGACCTGGATACCCCTGGAGAACATCGTGCTTGAGTGAAATTAGCCAATCACAGGACAACTATTGTATGAGATCACTGTTATAAGGAGAAAAAAGTACTAAAAACCAAGGTAAACACATTCAGATCAAAGGGAGCAGGGTTTGGAGCAGGGGTCCTCAAACTACGCCGAGGACATTTATCCAGGCCGCCGGGTGTTTTTGCCCCATTTTGTTTTTAACTTCAAAATAAGATATGTGCAGTGTGCATAGGAATTCGTTCATGGCTTTTTTTTTAACTAGAGTCCTGACCCTCCAACGGGTCTGAGGGACGGTGAACTGGCTCCGTTTTAAAAGTTTGAGGACCCCTGGTTTGGAGACTGCCAATGGGGCAAGGGGGCGGGGAGGAGAAGGTATTGTTAGGTAGGTTAGCAAAGGGCTGTGAATGTCCGTTAACACATGCCCAGAGGACCAAGCTAGGGAAACAAAAGAGTGGCGCACTGCACATGTTCAGGGTTCCCGCTGGTAGGCAGGAGTGGGCGTGAACTTGAATTGGCCCACCTAGCCAGGTGAATTCAATTCAGCCAATGGGGTCGATCAGGGGTCGTCCACCATGGAATCCTTGAAAAGGCAAAAGCCGGGAGAGAACTTTGGGGAGAGAGAACTTCGGCACAGAGAGCTGTGGTGGAGCTTTGGGACGCTTTGCGGGACGCTGAGCCGCTTCCAGCCAGGCCGCATGTCCGGGAGGAGCCCCTTGGGTGCCGTGTAAACCTGAAACTTCTTCTAACCCTCATAAAACTCACTTCGATCACAAACCAGGCTTCGGCGTGAATTCTTTCTCGCGTGGAGCCAAGGACCGAGGTATAAATCTAGCTCCAGAGAGATCTAACCGTATGAGATAAAGAAAAGGGCTAGTAGACTGATGACCATGTTAACGCACTTGGGGGCAAGGGGAGAGAGGGGTCCACAGGAAACAAACAAGAAAGCAGACAAACTTGGCCTACCCAGACCAACTGGTTACTGTAGCAGAAAGCCTTGTCTCCGCCCTCCCCCATTTCCCCCTCCCCCCGCAGAGGGAGGAGGGAAGTCAACAACAAGCAGGAAAGAGTAACTACTGAGGGGCTAGATTAGTAGTTTAAACCCTCGTATACTTATACAAAGTGGATGATGGAAAATGTAAAGCCCCCAACTAATTTAAAATTGAAAAACAAAAAAAGAACGTGAAAGTCCTACGCAGCTGCCTGGGGGGGTGTGGCCTTGTTTGGGGAAGCAGGCTTTTCTCTGCAGCTGTGAGCAGTGTAAGCTACGGAAGTCAGCCCGAGAGAGAGAAAATCCAAACTAACCCTGCAGCAGTCGAGCCGACTGGAGAACTAACTGCATCCGTGCAGAAGCCACCGCCACATCCTTCTCCCGCAAAGCAGGTGTGGATTCCAGCTGCTGACCCTCAGGTACACAGCCAAACACGTAATCACTGAGCACTCGCGCTTCCTGCAGGAGGACGGGTCCCAATCCTACCCCCAGCTCTGCAAAAGGAAAGCACGTGCTCTTTGAAGCCACCCCTTCTGTTATGGCTGCCCTTGAAGGCGGGGATATTGAGCACCGTGCACCCCATGCAGCAGACGAGGGCGGGTGGTGCTGGCCCAGGGTCTCACCCCTAAGCCTGTCTCAAGGACCCGCTTCCCTCTCCTGGGACTAAGCTGGGAGGGGACAAGCTCCCCGGTGCCAGGCACCTGTCACTTGGCACCCTCCCATGTAAGGCTCATGGCACCATCTTGCAGGAAAGGGGGGAATCTGCCCAAGAAGGTGCAGCTCAGAGATGCGTCTGACTCCCAAGCCATGGGAGGCGGCATTGGCAAAGGAAGTCAGCCTTTGCGTTTCTGGGCTGGGGTTCAAATACCTCCTCTGACCCTGAGCGGCTGGATGACCTTGGGGGAGCCATTCCCCGGAGGGCAGGATGGTCTCTTCAGCCCTCAGGAGACCCCGAAGGTGGCTTCTTAGGTGGCTTTACTAGGCCCGGAACGCTTCTTTTTCATCCCTCCCAAGCGCTCACTGGGAAGGAGCCCTGGTGGTTATGTGCTGGGCTGCTAACCGCAAGGTTGGCAGTTCAAAACCACTAGTTCAAAACTGCTAGTTTCCCCCGGGGAGAAAAAGGAGGCTTTCTACTCTTGTTAAAGTTACAGTTGGAAACCCATAGGGGCAGTTCTACCCTGTCCTGTAGGGTCCCTGTGAGTCAGCACCGACCTGACGGTGGGGAGCGTGGGTAAGCTCCCACTCCAGCCTGCTCTGAGACCTCACTTCCCGATGTATGGCTGGAGGCCGTCGGCAGCAGCTGGTCTGCGGGGCTTCCCCTGGTCAGCAGAAGCAACACCTCTTTCTAATATGTACAAAGGCGTGAGCACTAGAGGGGAGGGGCCTGCCTGTGTTCCACTTCCTTCCTGACCACTTCCAGGCAGCGTTCTCTGGTCCTCCAAATGGTGTCTTTATTTCTCTCTTCACCCCGACCCTACCCGGAGAGCCCAGAGAGTTTCAGTTTAAGGTCCCTGACCCCCTACCCCCACCTCCACACACACACACACACACACACACACACACATACACTGAGGGTGAACAGGAGGAAAGACAGGTCCCCACTGGAACAGGAGGAGGAAGTGGGAGTCCGGCAAGGTCTTACAAAGGCCCTGGGCAGCACTGGGGCTCCTGGGGAAGCCTGAAGGGGCCAAGCGGAGCACAGCTTCCTGGTTTGGGTAGGAGGGTAACCAGATGTTTATTCCCCCAAGGTTTAGGTCCACTTGTGTGCTTGGAGGTGTTGCTATATGCCCAAGAAGATGGTCACGTGTTGCAGTTATGTACACAAGGGGATTTTCCATGAACTTTTTCAAGACCCCCATGTGACATTGGAACTACCTCCTAAGGTTTCCTAGGGTGTAATTTTATAGGAGCAGCCAGTTCCGTTTGGCTAGCTGCCAAGTGTTTAACCCTTGCATCACCAGGCCTCCTGTGCTCAGGTCACAGGTCTCCAAAGGCATCCTAATTGATCTCACTGCCATCCAGACGATGCTGACTCATAGCGACCCACTCGGACAGGGTAGAACTGCCCCTGTGGTTTTCCCAGGCTGTGAGTCTTCAGACTCACAGCAGAGAGCCCCATTTTTCTCCCTTGGAGCCGCTGGTGGTTTTGAACTGCTGACCTTATGGTTAGCAGTCCAGTGCATAACCACTATGATAGTAGAGCTCCTCATAGTTCTTAGCAAACTCCCTCATGTATCAGTAGTGTATTTGGTCAAAAACACCTGCCATCTGCCTTGGGGTGGTGCCTACGTGAGGGTACATTATATATACAGGAACGGGGCAGGGGTGGTCAGGAAGTATGGTGTGGCAGTAACATAATCTCTTGTCAACTGGAAAGGGGTAGAGTCTAGCCTATCAATCAGGTCTCAGCTTGATGACCTCATTTGGAGGCTGGAAGGAGATAAACAGCTCACTGGAGGCCAGACCCAGTCTTCCTGTTGACAAGCCACACTGAGCTATGCTGGAGCCAGAGCCCTGGGGCTGGAGGAGCAATGTGGAGACCCACGCCAGTGCTGAGGCTCCCAACACCACTGTGTCCACAAGAATTTCCACCAACTGACCTGTGATCTTTCTTCCTGCACTCGGCATCATTGCATGTGTTGTGTGAGTCTGAAGAGGACTTATAGACTGTTATCGGACATATGGGTTAATATCGGACTTATGGACTTGGCTGTTCTCGCAATATAGAATTACTCTTTTATATGAGTGTCTATTTGTTTCTCTAGTCAACCCAGACTAACACACGTGGGAAAAGAGAATGGAAGTTGTTCATGAGCTTTCAAGTTGTGTGTGCTCAGTGTTAGGGATGCTACACTTGAGTACCAAATGGAAACACACAAAAAGCCCCCAGAGACACTTGGAGGCCATGGTCTACTTTGCTCTCAAACTTGGCCTCTCTTGGTGGGGGGTGTTCTTCTGGTTCTTTCCTTTGTGCCCTGACCCTCTGGACCCAATAGGTTCTAGGCAGGAGCAATGTCACCCTCTATCCTTTGGCCCTCCTTACTAGGGCCCAAGATGAGATGCTATTGCTGCTGGCATGTCGCCTTCCTACACCACCCTGTCAAGCCCAGGAGGCAGCCACCATGCCTGAGCATCGGTCCTGCATCTCAGCCACCCTGCCTGACTTCTCAGTCAAGCTTGTCTGCACCCCTAGGGCCTCATCTGAGATCTTGGCAAGTTCCCAGGGCTTGCTGGGTTCAAGGCACTGAAGTGGTCCTTACTGACCCACTGAGCCTTACTTCCCTCAATCCTGTGCACCCCACAACAGCAGGACTCATACTGGAATGATGCACAACAGCAGGACTCATACTGGAATGAATAGGGTTCCCCGCCAAAACTGAAACCTGTTAGTGTAAACTAATTTTGAAATGGAGGGGGCGGGGCTCTTTTGCAAACGTAATCAATTGAAGATAAAGTCAGACTGAATCAGTGGGCAGAAAATCCAATGACCAGTGTCCTTACAAGAAAGCGGACATGTAAACCAGGGGGTGAGGGGACCAGGCAGTGACAGAGGCTAGTGATATATCCACAAGCCAAGGAAGGCTAGCAAACACTGGCAGCTAGGTAGAGGAAGGGAAGGAGCCTTCCGAGGATCAAGGCCTTCATGTCAGACCCCCAGCATTGTGCTCCCACATGTAGCTGTTACAATAACCTCAGAACTGCAGAGTTGTGGCCAAGGCCCTGTGAGAGGGATTGTGAAAGGTGCTCTGTAGAAACCACACCTTTCCAGATCAGGTTAAAATGCTGACCCCAAAGAGGCAGGGTGGGGCCAGGATTCTGAGCTCTGTGGGTGAAGGCCATGCTGCTGCTCTGTGCCTACTCAGGGCCGCGAGGCTGCTCTAACCTGAGCAGATGTCAGTCAACGGGAGGCCCTTCTGACCCAGCAGGTCCGGGGCAGGGCCCAGGAACTAGCTCTCCTGCCACCTGTCCCTCGTCCTGGTCAGAACCCACGGCCTCCAGGCTTCTAGGTGGACTGGAATCAAGTACTTCTAGGGGGAGCTGTTAGTCGACGGTGTGGCTCGGGGGACACAGATGTCCAAGCCTCTGCAATGTGCTGTGATTTCTTTGTTTAAAGGCTGTGAGCCTGCACTCGGGTCTTTATTTTGGTTTTTAAAGAAGTCTTAGCTGTTCGAGTATCAAGAGTCCAAGGGACTCACCCAAGGCTGAGGGACCACCCCGTCTTCCCCCTCAGAGGGCCTCCTCTCTTCAGCCTGCAGAAGGGGCCGGGCAGGCTCAGCAGGGCACCCTGAGGGCCAGGGCTGGAGAGGTCTTGAAATCATATTCCTGATTTATAAATGTGGTTTTTCCCACCTCCCATCCTCCCTCTATATTTCTCTCTCCCCTCTCCCGATAGTCTTCAAAGTCTTATCTTTTGGTATAAAAACACTTTTTGCTTTTCTTTATAATGGTGTCATGAAATAGTTGTAAGAATGACTAACTGCTAAGCATATGTTCTCTAGGCTTGTTCATGCTTTTCGTTGTTTCAGTTAGTTTTTTATCGATGCATGCTATTCCATCGGATGAATGCACTGGTTTATCCATTCCTTTATAATCACAGGTTTTCGTTGCTTCCGTGTTTTGCTGTTATGGAAACTGCTGCATAAACATAGGTGCGCATGTCTGTGTGTGTGTGTGTGTGTTCTCTATTTCTGTAGGGCGTAGACTCCGTAGAGGGGCTCAGGATCATTTGCATTTGTTTAAGGCCGCGCCATCCTGTACTCCCCACTCCTCCCCCAAAGCGTGAGCACCCCCATCTCTGCACATCCTCTCGTGTTTATTTTGAACGTTGATAGAAGTGCCCCTGCGAGGGCCAATCTCATTGTCTTAGTTTGTATTTATTGCTGCCAGAGGGGTCCCTGCCTTAGCCAGCGGTCCTGCTCCCACCCAGCAACCAGGCTGCTCAAGACCTTTATTCATATGCCCCACCCCCTGAAGGTATAGAGGACCCCAGAGGGCTTTAAGAGGACCCCTCCCAGGAAAGAGGCTGCTGAAGCTTGGGCTACCTGAGATGAGGGAGGAAGCCTGTCCTGTAAGGCACAGCGGCAGGTGCTGAGGGAGAGGCTGTGGTGCCTCCAGCCACGTAGGGCCCAGGCGGAGTGGACCCGGGAAGAGGCCTCCCTTTCCAGGGAGCAGGGCCAGGCCGGATCCAGAGACAACAGACCACGCTGAAAGCAGAGCCTGACGTTCCACACCCCGCCTCCCTCCCCTCGATGGGTGGGAGAGCCTCGCTGAGCTTTCGAGACGCTGGCCTTCAGTGCAGCTCAAATACCTGTGACCAGGCTGCCGTGAAGGGGGCACCCTAGCTTTTCTGGAGAAGTACGGAGACAGGTCTCTGGCAGAGGGAGGGGAGAGTGGGCGCCCTGGCCCTGAGCCAGGCTGGTGCAGTCAGGGAGGGCGCTGGCGAGTCTCTGGCTCCCAGGTGGTGACAACACCCTGGCGGGCCTGAAGTTAAGTGAGGGCTAGGGGCACCCCCACACCGCCCTGATGAGAGAGGGCAGGGACAACGGGTGGCTGGGCCTCCAGCTACCCCGGAAGGCAGCAGCAAGCCTAGCCCCTGCCCCACCTTGGGACCAAGGGGCGACCTGGTCCAAGTGCCGCCCCCGAGAAGGGCAGAACTAGCTCAGTAACAGGCGACGGGCACGCAGGCAGCCTCCCGGTGGGAGGGGTGGGGGAGGTGGCGCCGGGCCCTCAGTGGTGGCTGCTGACGTGGAGGGTGTAGAAGGCCCAGGGCTCGGGGACGTAGATGACGCCCGGGTACTTCTTCCTGAGGACCGGGTCGTTCCACAGCCAGGCAACCCAGAGCGCCACGAGCAGGAGCGCGAGCACAAAGGAGTGGAAGAGGAAGAGGCCGTTGCTGTCCAGGAAGAGGCGCTTGCGCTTCTGGTGCAGCACGAGGGCCAGCATGGCGAAGAAGGTGAAGATGAAGAGGATGAAGATCTGGCCCTCGGTGACCAGGTACCTGGCGAGACCGGTGGGTGGAGTCAGGCGGCACCACGCCCACCCCGTTCAGCAGCACTGCGTTGTGCCCTCCCTGGCCCCAGGCTGCACAGACCCGCCCGCACACAGCCATGTTGGTTGGCTTAGACTTAGTGGAGTGTTTTTGTTTTTAAAATTTTGAGTTTGTTGCCAGCATTTCATCTCGGATTACCTTTAAAAGTAGTCTCTGGCCACGCTGGGTCTGCCCTCCCACATGACAACGTCTGCCTAGAGCAGCCAGCAGCCCCCTGGGCTAGTCTACCACTGGCCTCCCCACTCCCTGGTGCCTCACTTGCTACCTGGGTGAGAAGCTTCTGTCAGAGCTCGGTTTCCGTGGGCATTTGAGTTTGGGAACGCAGTTCCGATTTAGGGAGTTGCCATTACTGCCTCCGTGAAGGTTGGGGAGCATCTCCGATCTCCCAGGGTTCCCTGCAGCTCCCACCTGCCATCCCTAGCACACAGTCAGGAACCCAGGTATTTTGAGAGGTCATCCGGTCCTCTCCCCTGCCTCTGAGGTGCGTGGCAATGCGGCCACAGCTCTACAAGCTGGCCGTGGAGCCCTGGGGGAGTTAGAGGACGTCTTCAGGCTTATGAAGCAGCACCCCAAGGCAAACCCATTGTCACAGAATTGGTTCTGACTCACTGAGAGCCTGCGAGACAGGTGTCCCGGGCTCTCAATCTTCCAAGGACGCAGACAGTCACATCTGTCTCCTGCAGAGCGGCTGGTGGGCTTGAACTGCAGACCTCTTGGCCAAGATCAAAGGATGACTGCTACCACTGTGTAGCAACACTGGCAGCACGCCACTCTGGGAAGAACAGTGCAGGAAGCACATGTCTCCTCGGCCTAAGGTTTGACCCATTTGATGTGACTTTGTCCCAATGGGTCCTCTCTACAAGGGGCAGGCCCCATAGGGGAGTCTCCTCATTTTCCAGGAGGCCCTCTTTCAAGGGAGGGCCCCATCTGGACACCGTCCTGGTATACCACTTGTCTCCAGGGAGACAAGACCGGCACAGGGAACGAGCCTGGCTGGGCTTGCGCAGTCTTTGAGGGGAACGAGAGCTCGAGGGACATAGGCGAGGTGCTCCTGAGGCTCCGCCCCCTCACCCGGCATGTCCACAGAGCCCCCTTTCTCTTTGTCTGCATCCTGACCAACTCCCCAGAGGCAGACAGACAGGGATCACCACCCCCCGTTTCACGGAGAAGGAAGCTGAGAGTGGAGGCTCAGGGGTTCTACAGGGCTCCATGTTAGAGGTGGGCTCTGGGGGACTAGGGTGGCAGCTTAGGGCTGGGGGTTGGCTTACAAGGTGAGGGGCTCACTATTTCTGCCCAGAACCCCTGCCACACTCAGGCCTGGTTCCCTGGCAATAGAGGTGCCACAAGGCACTGTCATGTGCTTCACTAGACAGTGGTGGGACAGCCCCACTAGGAGACCCTCACCTGGGCTCCCCAGCAAGCCTGGGATCAGCTTGGATGCCTACTGCTCGCTGAGCGCCCACCCTTCCCCCTGCTACTCTGTCCACTCACCAGTAGTACAGGCCGCTGGGCACCACCAGGAGCAGGGCCGCCCTTGGCATCGAGCTCTCAGCTTTGGTGGGCGTGAAGCAGCCGCTGAAGTACATGAAGAGGATGAGGAAGAAGGGGATGTACCTACAACAGGGAGGCCAGAGCCTTAGGAGGCCGCTAGCCCCCCCCAGTCAGGCCCCAGCCTCACCCCCACAGCCCTGGGTGTCGCTTCCTGGTGCAAAATGCCCAGTCTGTGCGAGGGCACTGCCTCTCCTGTGCTGGGGACCCAGTGTGGGGCAGCAAAGGAGTGGGGAGAGAGCAAGGCTATGGATGGGGGCCCTACGACCGTGCTCCTCCCTCACTCCAGGTAGGGCTGTGGGATGCCTCAGTGGGCCCCGCCCCCAATACAAGCTGCCCCGCCAGGTGGGAGCCAGACTGAGGTGAGAGACCTAGAACAGCGCCCATCTGCAACCTAACCACCCCCCGGCCTCTCCCCCATGCACAGACATCTCCCCCAGAGCCCCTCCCTCCCTCCCTCTCCTCTCCCACACACCTGTATGGGCCCTCACCCACCACCCGGTTCTCTTAGCCGGAAGGAGCCACTTAGCATCTTCTGAAGCAGACCGTGGATGCCCAAGGGCGGAGTTTGTGCCATGTGACTGAGCCCCCTTACTGAGGAACCAGGTTCCCTAGGACCGCCAGCAGTTCTGTCGCTGACAGCCCTCCTCCTTCTGCCTGGGAGCATCCTGTGTGAGGCTGAGGCTCCCAGTGTGGGCGCTATATTCCCTGTGGCCGACCGTTGGGTGGAAAAGCCCCCATGGGTGAGGAAGAACTCACACAGCACCCTATGTCCCCCACCTGGCCCTGCTTTCTCTGTGGTCCACCCCGCAAACCAGACCGGGCACGCGGTGGGGAGTGCCCTACTTTATCCGTAGCCCTTCACCGGGGAGGGCTGGGTCCTCCCTCAGCCCCGGGGAAGGGGGGCTGGGGACCGGAGACAGCCACGCACTGCCCTCCAGTGGCCGCCGGGAGGGGCGGGAGGCCAGGCCCAGCGGCGGTCGGCAGCAGGCTCTGAAGTAATGGGGCAGCCACCCCAGGGGCCGGCTCACAGCAGCCGAGGCAGTCTGTCTCACCACAAGGAGTGGCCCAGGTACTCGTCGTAGTAGTAGAGCAGTTCGAAGGAGTCGATCTGCAGGCGGCAGAGGGGCACGGGCAGGGCGGGATAAGTGGGGGCCATGTTCCCCCTGGGGCCTGGTCCGAAGCAGCCCCTCCCAAAGGGCCCCGTGGGAGCCCGCTCATTTCTAATCATAGCTCGACAGAGGCCTCACCTAGTGGACAAGTTGGGGCGCCTCCCGTGCAGGGAGGGCAGGGGCCTTACCAGCGTCTCCGGTTTGAGATTCTTCATGATGGGGTTCTCCCGGACGGACAGGTGGTGCTGGTAGCCACTGAAGAGCAGGCGGTGGTTCACGGAATCTCCCACCAGGTGGATGCTGGCGCCCATGATGAAAGTGATGACGCTGACGTAGATCATGGCGCGTGGCAGGGTTCGCGAGGACCGCTCTATGAGCTGAGGGGCAGAGCGAGGCGAGTCCCAACAGCCTGACCCATCCCTGTCACAGCGCAAGGCACCTGTGCTGCCTGCCCCAACACCTGAGATGGGAGTGGAGGCCACCAGATGGAGGGTCACTCGGAGACTGGAGGGACCCTGGTTAGATGTGCCGGCCTCCTGATGCACTTGACCCGTAAGGCAGACGGGGCCAGCACCTTGTCTAAGGCCACACGGGAGCTGGCGGGGGCAGGTCCGGTCCTCTCGCTGCCCCCAGCTGCATTGGCAGCCACCACATGGGTGGCTGGGTTGTTGGCACGCTAGAGCCCCTCGGCTTGCTGAGCGGACCAAACAACATGCAGGTGTTCTTCCACAAATCATGTCATGAAAATGACTCCTTCCAGCACCAAAGCCTCAAATGCCTCTGAGTGGGTTTCCTCCATCCCTCCTGGCCTGCCACGCGGCCCACAGGCACTTGCAGCCTTCTGATCGCAAGCCTTAACCCCGCCCCACCCCTTCTGGCAAAACAAGAGCCGGACTCTGAGCAGATCCAGCGCTTGGCTCGGGCCCCGCCCACTCAGCCAGCTAGAGGGAGGAGGGGAGGGGCTGCGCGCAGAGACAGCAGTCTGGAATGGTACCTTGAGCAGGAGAAACGGGGTGATGACGTTGTAGGCCATGTGGAAGTAGTCCCCCACACTGGGCTTGTTGAGTGGAAACCATTCCAGAGGGAACACCAGCTGGGGGGGCGGGGAGAACAAGGTGTTCAGGGTCCCCAGGAAGTCAGCTGGGTCCCCTCCACATACACTTCTGTGATCTCTGGGAATCCTCTTGGCAACCCCAAACAAAAGGTATTACGACAGGGAAACTGAGTCCCCAACCCTAGAGGAGGTAAAACGACTTGTCCCTAGGTCCTAAATAAATATAAATGTCCCTGGATCCCAGCGTGGACATCAGGTGATCTCCCCTGGGGCTCAGTGATGCTGCCACCTTGCTGGATAATCCTGCGCAAGTCCTTCCCTCTGTGAGCCTTGATGGTGACACAGTCTCCTGACTAAGCTGGTGGCCGGTTTCTCAGCCCAGGTGTGGGGAGACGCTCTCGCCACTGAGGGATGGAGCCTCCCAGAGGGGCTGAAGGCAGTCTGCACAGTGAACCGATGCAGTAACAAGTCCAGTCCAGTCTCCCATCCCTAACTCTATCTTGCTGTTAAGAAGCAGGCAGGCCCGAGGGCAGCTCCTCCCCTCCATCTGTCAAGTCTTGTCCTTGTCCTGGTCAGTGTGAAGAGCCGGTGGCATAAAACGCCAGTGCTTCTAGTGGGCGTTGACTGAGGTGTATGAACTAAGACTGTCAACTAGCAAGTCAACATGCATTGATTTTGAATCTGACACGCCCCATTGGATGCAATCTCAACCTATTTTTTTCTCACTCTGTATATTTCTTTATCTCTTTCTAGACCCATTATTTTGTGGCAGTGAAATCAGAAAGGCAGCTTCTTCAACTTTACAGGACTGGTTGAGTAAATTATCATGCATCTTGACTAAAAACAAAATAGCCCAAGCCATCTAGTCGATTCCGACTCAAATTGACTGTAGAGAATTTCTGAAGCTTTGTAAATCTTTTGGGGAACAGATAGCCTCATCTTCCTCCCACGGAGTGGCTGGTGGGTTTGAACTGCTGTCCTTGTGGTTAGCAATCCAATGCTTACCTGACAGCACCTTGACCACAGAAGATTAGATGGCTATTAAGAGAAATCCTTGTATGGCTATGGAGAGATATGACACCTGGAATTGTCTAAGCCGTGTGTTTTTAAGTATTTGTAAGAAGGATAGGCCCCAAACTGTCAGAGGTAGTTCTGGAACTGGTGCAGGGCACATCTCACTGACTTTATTTGGTACACTAGGGTATGACTTGGTTTGTTATGACTATATTACTTCTTTATGAACATTTGTGCTTGGGTTTTAGTTATTACAAACACGGGGGAGGGGTGTTTATGTACATTTGGAAAGCTCCGGTGTACACAAGACAGGCTTGGGTTTGCTCAGCATCTCTGAATCCTCCTCTTGCTGGACAAGCCTCGGAGGCTCTCCAAGTGGACCTCATGTAGGGTTTGACTGGCTCCAGCAACTCTAGGCAGGAACAAGAAAGTGACCTGCTCAGCAGGCGACCCCCATTAGGCCAGCTGAGCCGGAGCCTTAACGAGCAGGGAGAGTCATGCCTGGGACTCCGCCTTCTCCTCACTCCTGAGTGTCCGTTTGACAGGCAGCTCCTGGGGCTGCGAATAGTGAGGCTTTCAGGTTGAAAGGGGGCTCCGTGCAATCTCAACAGGAGAGGAGGGAAGGCCAGAGGACAGTAGCTTGTCCAAGTCACCCCTGCACACCTGACCAGGTGTTCTGATTGCTGCCTCAGTGCCTTTTCTTTTTTCTGCATTTAAAAAACAGGATGATGTCATTACATACAGTCTGCAGCCAGGAGAACCAGCTCCTGGAATAGACCCTTTGCCTTGACCCCATTGTCAGGACTGATAGCCCTTCTTCATTCCTGCAAGTCTGCAGTCCTTCCCGTGAACACAGATTTGTTACTGCCTTGCCACCCGTCAGTTCTCCTGCCACTTAGGAACCTTTTCTCTCCTGTTTAGCATCAGGCGGTGGATATGTTCCGTGACTCCTGCTGCTTAGCCAAGGGCCATTCCCGATCCTGGACCGGCAGGGTTGAGTTTCCTAGTCCCTTCCAGACTCTGGCCATTATCATCAACGTGGCCAAGTACAGCCGTGGTGGCAGACACTACTCTCCTGTGACGGGGATTACCGTCTTGGCAGATTCTCCGGAAAGGTCTTTCCGTGGCAGGAGGCATGATGAGCATGTTAGGATTCCTGAAACATGCATGGCTGAGCTGAACCTTGCCAGAAAGGCTGCGGCTGGGATCAGATCCTGGCTCCTGGCCTGGCTGGTTGTGCAACCCTGACCCACTTACCCACCCTCTCCATCGCCAAGTGTCCTCGCCTGGACAGTGGGGATCATGTAATAGCGCTGGGCTGAGAATGAAACAAGTTGGACCTGTGGAGCGTTCAGCGCAGCGCAAGCACTCCATTACATATCAGCAGCCTCCATGTTTGCCTTCTGTTACTCCTTCAAAGAACTCCAGGGGGCGGGGCTGATGCACGGGGCAATTTAAATCAACCAGCTGCTTTGAGGGAGAAAGATGTGGCAGTCGGCTTCTTTCATGATGGACATTCTGGAAACCCTCTGGGGCAGTTCTACTCCGCCCTATAGAGTTGGAATTGGCTCGGTGGCAGTGGGTTTGGGTGGAGGCCACTCCTGTATGTCAATGCATGAAGCAGCCTTGAAGGGAAGGAGACAGTTTCACCAGATGGCACAAAAACATATCTGAGTCCCCAAGCCAGAGTAACATGCAGAGCCCGCCTCTACCCGTCTCCTTTAGAGAAATAATCTCTCGGGCCTTGGGGAAGGGCAGTGGGGATTTGAGTCTCCCACTCCTGTACTATCATCTTAGTGGCCTGGTTAAACCTGGTCGATCAGTTTATTATGTGGGCTTGTGGTGGTCAGGGCACATGTCTACCCAGGTCCCCCAGGCCTCCAACATGCTGGCAGCTGCCCAATGTTCAGTTAAAGAGCTATAGAGCTGAAAGTATCCTGGCCTGTTCTCTCAGTTGTTGGTAAGGGGAGGGACTTGGCCAAGGTCACTTAGCTAATTTAATTAAATTTAGCTAAAGTTTGGAGTTGGCAAGGTGAACAATTTGAAACCATGAGTTACACTCCTGTAGAGAAAGATGAGGTTTTCTACTTTTGTAGAGATTTGGTTTCAGGAACACACAGGGCAGCCCCACCCTGCCCGGTAGGGTTGTCATGAGTTGGGACTGACTTGAGGGCAGCAAGTTGAGAAGTCTCCCCAGAAGAGCCCTTGCAATGCAGAGGGGTAAGCCACGGGCTGCTAACCACAGAGTTGGCAGTGCAGACCCACCAGCTAACTTCTCAGAGAAAGATGGGGCAGTCTGCTTCCTGTAAATATTTACAGCAGTAGGAACCCTACAGAGAAGACGTTCTACTCCATTCTAAAGGGTCGCTATGAGTTGGAATCAACTTGAAGGCAGTGGGCTTGGTACTGTGGGTGGAAGTCTCCTTACTCTTGGTCTGAGCGCCGACCGTTGCTTCACACTCACCATGGCAATGGGGCGGCCAAAGTCCAGAACCCAGTTCTGCAGGGTGAAGTAGAACCAGAGGTCAAGGTGGAAGGGAGCCGTGCGGGCAGCCTCATCAGCCTTGACGGAGCCATGCCTGGGAAGGAACCAGACGAGAGGGTCAGTTCTTCATGCCACCTCCTGTGGCAATTGCCCCTCAAGGGAGGAGCCTCAAGGAGGGCTGGGGTGACACACGGGGTAAGTTGCAGGGGAAAGGTTCTCGCTGGAAACACTAGACTGCAGCGGGCCAACGCTTAGCCTCAGTGCTTCGGGAAGAACTGACACAAGGATAATAAGGATGGACTCTCCCCCAGGGGAGGATGGGAAATCAAAATGAAGCAAAGGTGCACATGTCGCTGGAAAAATGTGAGACCCGATCATGATGATAAAGAGCTACCCTTCACTGGGCACTTTCAACATTCCAGGACTTGTGTTAGGTCCTCACACGCATCATCTCCTTTAACTCTTTTAAACCCTTGAAGGTTAGGATAGTCCTCGCTTATAAAAGTGAAAAAAACACTCTGACCACAGCGTTAAGCAAGTTGCCCAAGCTCACTCAGCCGAGGAACTTGACCGAAAAGATTAGGCTCCCAGAGCTTGTATTTTTTTTTTTCAGAGCTTGTATTTTTTAATTCTCTCCCATCACTGTGCTCAGTGATTGGTCCCTGGGATAGGTATGCGGCCCTAGGTGGGCCAATCACAGCCCTCTAATGAGATTTGTCATATAGAGCCGTTGATGCTAGAGGGGGAAAACCAGTCAGATGGAGACAAGCAGCCAGCTGGGGCAAGGTGACATGAGATGTGACAAGAAGCGGAGCACCACCTGACAATACATCTTCGGGTGCTTGTCCCTCCTGCAAAGCAGTTTGCCGCATGCTGCTCCCCGATGAGCTGGCCCAGTGCACAGCGCCCTCCTCTGGGTACAGCCATTCCTACAGCCCCACCTCAGGGAACAGGGCATGTGCTGTCACAGGCCTGCAGAATCGCAGCACAGGAGTTGGCTCTCACCTAGACTCTTAGGCCACCCACCTCCCCAGGAGAGTCCAGATCCCCACTGCAGCACCCTACCTGGACCCCTCCAGTGACAAGTGTCCCAGCCGCTCGCAAGATGCCCGAGCTGACTTTTATTGTCCCATTTTGCCAGGAGGAGTGGTGTGACTTGTACCCGTAGTCCCCAGCGTTCTCAGCTCACTGCCTGCCTGGAGCGTGGTCATTCCCGGCCGGAAATAATTTTTTTGGCTGTTGGCTTTCCATCAGTAACTTTCCAGGATTATTTCCCTTATCTCGAGAATGGTCCACATCTGCAGGCCAAGGAGACGAGCTCTTGGGGGAGGGGAGGGGGTTATCATCCTATTGCCAGAATGCTCCTTAGAAGTAAGGATGGCATGACTTTGTCTTACTTACTTTGGCATGTCTCCAGAAGGGCCCGCCCCTGGGGAAGGGCATCCTGCCTGGCAGAAGAGGGTCAGCAGAAAAGAGGAAAGCCCTCAGAGAGAGGGGCTGGCCTAGTGGCTGCAGCAATGGGCTCAGACATGGCAGCGATCGTAAGGATGGCGCAGGGGCCGGGCAGCGTGTGTTCTGGGCCCAGAGTTGCTCTGAGTTGAAATGGACGTGAAGGCGCCAACAGCAACTAGGTAACAGGGGTGACAGGTGGGTGGGTCTTTGCTAGCGATCCGCTAAGTCTCACTACCCTCTCTCCTCAGTTTCCCTCCCTTACTGAGTGCCAGCTGTGCGGGGCAGGAATGTGACTAGCACCCTGTCATTTACTCGACCTGTCAACTTGGGAGGCAGGAGTGTCACCTTCTGTCCTAGGTTGAGAGACGGCAAGGGGATGAGCCAAGGTCACCAATCAGGAAGGCGCTGTAGGACTATACCTTTTGCTACCCATTCCCCCCACCCCCACCCCTGCCTCCTCAGGTAAGAGATGGCATTTCCTAGGCCACAGGGAGGGCCTGTGATCCAGGGGACTTTTCCTGGAGTTGGGGAAGAGCTGGTACTAGGGTTTTAGGGATGAGTCCAGGGCAGCCTGTGGCCCAGCATCCAGTCTCAAGGGACAGTCAGGTGTGAATGGAGCATCCTTAAGGAAAGACTTGGAGGGCAGGGGTCGAAGCAGCCCCGACAGTGTAGACGTTCTGAGTTCCTGATAACCCACCTTTGCTAAGGGTATTGCAGCTCACTTTGGACTTCTGTCGCTTACCATCAATCGAGACAAAGCATGCAAGATAATTATAGTTACAGAAGCGCAGATAACTATGATCAATGCTGACAGCTTGGGAGTAAACATACAGATGACAGGAGTTGGGGGAAAGGGTGAGGAAAGCTAAAGGTATGGGCAGGCATTAATATCATTCTACAAGTGGGACAGCAAGAGATGCTGCTTATAGCAAACTCAAACGGCAAACTCAATGCCATCAAGTTGATTCTAGCTCACAGCGACCCTATAGGAGAGGGTAGAACTGCCCCTGTGGGTTTCCAGGACGGTAACTTCTTTTTTTTATAAATCATTTTATCGGGGGCTCTTACAACTCTTATAACAATCCATACATCAATTGTATCGAGCACATTTGTACCTATGTTGCCCTCATCATTTTCAAAACATTTCTACTTGAACCCTTGGTATCAGCTCCTCTTTTTCCCCTGAGACTGTAACTAGTTTTGGAAATAGAAATCTTATCCTCTTGAGAAGTGGCTGGTGGTTTCGAACTCGCATAATCACTGTACTATCAGGGCTCCTGGCCTGCCTGTAGCAATGACCATGCAAAGAGGCTTATGCGCCTCCTCTAAGGCTACAAAGGTAACTGTCATGGACTGAATTGTGTCTCTCAAAACCTGATGTCACAGTCCGAACCCCTGGTGCCCAGATGTAGGGTCTTTGAAGATGTGTTCAGTTGACAAAAGGTTATAAGGAATGGGGTGGACTTAATCCAACCAGAGAGGTGTTCTATAGAAAAGGCAGAGCGAGACAGATGAGGGGGCAGATGGCTCATGTGAAGATGCACCTGTAAGTCAAGGGGTGCCTGGGATGATCAGGAGACAAGAAAGGACCTTCCCTACAGCAGCAAGGCAGCGAGTCCCTGCCGACACCCTGGATTCAGACTCCTAGCCTTCAGAACAGTGAGACGCTTTCTGTTCTTATCAGGCAGCTGATTTTTTCCCTTTGTTACAGCAGCGCTTGGAAGCTAACACAGTAGCCAGCAGACGTGGTGATAAAAAGAGCCATCATGGGAAGATGGGAGAAGACCTAAAAACCAACCCCGTTGTCATCAAGTTGGCTCCAAGCCATACAGACCCAATCGGGCCGAGCAGAACTGCCTTAGTTTCCAAAGCTGTAATCTCCTCTGGAGACGCTTTGGTGGCAAAATGGGCTACTTGGTGGGCCAGGTCACAGACAGTACACCTAGGGAAAGATGGTTTCTAATCCTGTAAAGAGTAACAGACTTGGAACTCCCCAGGGGCAGGTCTACCTTGTCCTCCAGGGCTGCTCGCTACGAGTCAGAATTGACTCGATGGTAGTCCGTTTGGCGTAGAACGTTTTACAGAAGCAGACTGCCACATCTGTACCCCTTGGCGCGGCTGTTGGGGTCAAACGGACTGCCTTCAGCGAGTGCTTAAGCACTGCATCAGCAGGGCTCCTTAGGGAAGGTAGCAGTGAGCCGAATGGTGGCAGGAAGTCAGTAGGTCCCGAAGACCAAGAAGCAGTAGTGAGCGTTAACACTGAAGAGCGTTCATATCCCAGCGCATCTACTAACCAGCTCTTGAACAAGTTACTTAACTTCTCGGACCTCAGTTTCTCCATCTGTAAAACAGGAACAATAGATCTCACCTCAAGGGGTGAGGTGAGTGAATAGTACAAATCTTGTACTTAAAAATATAAAAAAAGTGGCTAAGGTGGTTGTCTCTGGTGCAGAGCAAGGGGTGGGGAGAGGCCGGTTGCTTTTGACTCTTAAACACTCTGCTCTGTACCCTTTGGTTGAACCATGGGCATGTCCTACTTCCATGGCAGTACAAGAAACTGTCTAACACGGCAGTTGGAAGCTAGGGGTAACGAGTGCCTTGGCATTAGGGGCAAGCAAACAAAGCAGTAGGGGTAATGCAAGCATTCTAGGAATTGGACAGGATGCTTCTGCCCTCCGTCTTGAGCAGCATCCTAGAAATGAGCCCAGACCGACCCACTGTGGGGAGGAGGCAGCCATTCCCTGGGAGAGAAACGGCCCCTCGTGTCATCTCCCAGGGGGTGGGGTGGAGGGAGGAGAGGGTAGCTTGGCAGGTGGGACCCTCGTACAGAAGCAATAAGGGACAAGACTTCCTGGCAGTCAAGATGGAGTACTACGAACAGAAACCGGAGTCTAAGTTCCTGCCAGCCCATGACATAGCCTCTGTGGGCCTCCACTTCCCCGCCTGTGCATTGAGGGTGCCGCCTGGCGGCTTACTGGGCGATAGTGAAGACTGAGTGAGAGGCTGGACAAGGCAGGAGCGGGTGCCAGACAACGTGGTGACCACACCTGATCCCCACAGGCTGTTCTAATCAGGGCAGCCAAAGACCCTCAACTTGATCACAACAGAGACGGCCCTCAGCCATAGAGGCTCCTAGGAGAGACTTGGCAAGTAGACTGGGGCCTACTTGGAAGGAGAAGGGCACATGACTCATGTTGTGGTCCAGTCTGGGCTCCGAGACTCAGTCTAGGCAGGCTCCTGAGCTCATCTGAGCCTGCTTCCGCTTCAGAGAAACACCACCTTGTAGGTGAGGCAAGACTGAGGTGCTGATGGGTTAAACACACAGTATGTAATCACTACACTGTTTCCAAGGGAAACGAAAAAACACACAGCCCTTAATCCAGTGGTTCTCAACCTTCCTCATGCCATGACCCTTTAATCTGTTCCTCATGCTGTGGTGACACCCCCAACCATAAAATTATTTTCGTTGCTACTTCATTAACTGTAATTTTGCTATTGTTATGAATCGGGCGACCCCTGTGAAAGGGTCATTTGACCCCCAAAGGGGGCTTTGACCCACAGGTTGAGAACCGCTGCCTCAGGAGCAGGTGCGTGTGTGAGTCTCCGGCACCTCACCTTATCCCAAATCACATCACAAACTGG